CCTCGAGAGCTTAGCCGTCGTTCTGCAGCGTCGCGACTGGGAAAACCCTGAAAAGAACATTTTGAAATTGGAGACTGGTGCAGAGCAAGTTGAAGGAAAAATCAATAACTTTTTCTGCCAACAGTGTGTATATCGCCCAATCTACACATAATAAATTTTTTGTAAAAACAATTTAATGTCGTTCACGTTCCAGTTTTAAATGTCGTGCGCGTTCACCACCAACTACTCTAGCCTACGATTTTCGAGTCTTTATCCAAGTATGCCGACTACCGACCGTTGAAATCAATAGTCGTATACTTGCCCGTAAGTAAGTCGTATACTTGCCCGTAAGTCCGACCAGTTGTGATCTGCTAGCCTAGGTGAAACTCACAATTAGACGCAGGTTCTAAGGTCCGGTGCTTTTTTAGTCTTTTTTAGGCGCCGGCGGGATTGTCAGCGAGGATGTGCTAATCCCACCTGTGGCCATCCGCAACCTAGGCCGTAGGCCAATCAGTTAGTCCTTTTAAGAATAAGCTCACCAACCCGAAAACCCCTATGGCCGCCAGACCACTGCCACTCCCAGAAGTACCCTTGTCAGAATTTTGCAGCCAGCCGTGGCACAGCAATGGCCTTGTCCAAGGCTGTGCCAAGGTAGGACGCAACATTTTGAATAGTTATTTCTGGAATAGGTAGCGGCCTTTCTGGAATACCTAGCGGCCACAATACAGAGTTTCTGCGTCGCTGAGCGTATTTTCAAAAGTACGACCTGATCGGACCACGGCAACCGGTCGTACTTAGCACAGCCTTCTCGAAGTCCCTCTTTATCCACATAACCGATTCAAACGAGATTCCACCAAAAAAGGATTCTTTTAATTTCTCAAATGCAATCCCACTGGGACCTCTTTCCTATCGCATTCACGCAATCTAATTACTTTCTACTCACCTCAAGCTCATCCTCTTGCTTCTTGTCCTTAAGATCGAAAAGCTTGGCTTGACGGAATTCGGCGTTGGAGTCGAGAAGAAGTTTGCAGTCCATGCAATAAACATCTCCGTTGACATCCTCGGCCATTGGGTTGATTTCGACAAGGGTGGCGTCGGATCCCTTGAACATTTTGTAGAGTTTCTCGATGATCTCGGATGCTTGTTGCTCGCAGTCCTTCTGAAAATTACATGAATTAAAATCGTGGTGTCAAAGGAAAGGTTTGGAAGGTTGACTGGGATTTTTAGGTTTAGAAAAACAATCGAAAACAATTGTTCCAGTAATCTTAACTTCGTTCACAGGTTGAGCGGGAACAAAAAACAAAAAGGTTTTCTAGAGCAAGAACTCTCAAGTATGAAACTGCTGAATCTTTTTTTGGGCACGAAACACACGAGATCGCTATTAGCCTACAATCATTCTTGTTGACCAATTTTAGGCCTCATGGGCCGGCTGTTAACTTGCTTTAAATTTGAAATTATGAGCAAAACAGCATCCCAGATAATAGAGCTCGGGAAGCTTTACAACCTCCAGTAAGATACCACCGGCTTCAAAAGCCTTTATATGGTCCGGGCCGGCATTTCTCAACCAGACCGAAGTTTTGCCCGGCCCGACTATTATATGTCAACCGGTTGCTGATTCAAATGTTGGTCTATTCTTATTGGAAGTTGTAAAACACGGTGAGTTCTATCATCTGGTACGTTGTTTTGCCCACAATTCAACTTTGAAGCGAGTTATTAGTCGGCCTGGAATTGCCCAGCGGCAAGCATTCATACGATAACAAAGATGACAATGTCGTGAACTTTTTCATCATCCCGCTTTCCTTTCCACGCTCTTTCAGATTTCCTTTAGCACTCACCGAGAATCCCATCTTCACAGCAATCTCATGAGCGAGCTCCTTGGTGATTCCGACGTTGACATCAATTGGCATCTTGACGATGGCGTCTGGGTTGGTGGCAGCGACCTCCTCAATGTTAACGCCTCCTTGGGATGAAGCGATGACAATTGGCCCGTTGGTGTTACGGTCGAGGGTGATCGAGAAGTAGTATTCACGACGGGTGAAGAGACGTTTGCACACCATCACCTGGAAAAAGTAGTCTTGCTTAATTTATGTATCCACAGCGAATTTTGTTTCGGTTTCAGACAAAATCGTCACAATATGTAGTCTTTCATGCCGATGGCACGTGAATGTCTGCTTGGTTCACGTGAAACGTTCTCACCTCTTCGCACTTCTTTCCGCGATGATCGGTCTGCTTGGTAATCAAATGAGCTCCAATCATCATCTCAGCCTTCTGTTTCACCTCTTCTGGTCTGAAAAATCGAATATTTTAATGTGAAATGAGGAGAAAAAAACATACGTGAAAACAATTTGAACTCCTCCTTGAAGTCCGGACGAGAAACGTCCCTTTCCACGTCCTCCGGCAAGAACTTGAGCCTTCACGACGTAGTCCTTTCCTCCGATTCTCTTGGCCTCATTCAAAGCGGTTGTGGCGTCTTGGGCGACACCGAATGGTGGCACCTTGATCTCGTAGTCTTGAAGAATCTTCATTCCGTGGTGCTCGTGGAGCATCAGGTTTCTAGCGGCCGGCGCCATGAATTTTTGTGAAGTGTTGAGAAGTGGCTGACTGATTCTTCCGATCATTTTTGCCCTGAAAACATACAAAGTAAGAAGGACGCAACAGAAAATTGAGGAGCGAAACCTCACGAAAAAAAATCAATAAAAGTTGGAGAGAAAAAACAAAGCAATGCGCGAGTGAACGGACCACAAATGAACGTTGAGTGGGAAAAAACAATAATTACTAGAGGGGATTTGTGCGCGCGCACACTACACCCTACGACGCATTGCGGACTTTGTCCCCTCCAGCACAACGGAGGCTACGCGCAACCTGCAGATAGAGGAGAGGAGAGCGAAGGTGAAGAGATAGAGGGAACAACAACGTGGAAGGAAGATTCTAGAACATTTTGGCTAGAGACAAACGGTGGAGAATACCCGTTCAAAGCATATAAAACACTGCAAGTGCGTATTGAAAGCAAAAAGAAACAGAAAAAACGTGGGGCGAAAACTGCCGTGTCTCAAAGATCGGTGGCCAGCAACGTGGTTGGCCGAGGAGGGAAGAGTAGATTGTTCGCAGAAAAGATAAGGTACAAAGTTTTTGTCGGGGAAAAAAGTGCAAACACTAATGGGAAAAAGAACTGATAATAAATATATATTGGTTGCTGGCGCATGTGGCTACTTATGAAGGTTTGGAGAGGTCAAAGGATGTTGTGGAGAAACTACTTTTTAAAGAATTTTTTAAACCGAAAACGAATGCAGTGGGTTAGAAAGTTTTTGAATACAAAAATGTGCAAAAAACTTGATGTGAAAATTTTCAAAACTGATCGAATTTTGAACAAAATTTCTATAAATTCCTGTATATTTTTGACAAGATTACTGTATTTGCTTACATGGAAGTCCACAATTTCAGCTCAATTGTCTCGGTTGTCAACTGATAAAATGATAACGATATTATGATGAATATTACACCAATAAAAAGTTTTTCAATATCTTTTGACAGAATCGAGATAATTGAGCTCGAAGTGGACATATAGCGTGGATTCTATAAGAGCGTTTACGGCAATCAAACTTTTACGAATCTTTGTTTTTTCCAGTAATTTTTAATACAATTTTTTAAACTATTTGGTTGCAAGAGCTGTGAAAATACATAAATTTCGTTTTTAAAACTATTCTTCCAAGTACAGGGTGGACAGAAAGGGCCTGATTCTGATAGATTTTTGATGAATGGTTAATTATGAGCTTCTCTGAAGCTGTTTTTTTTTCAGAATTTTCAAAATCATATTTTTTAACGACTGCGCCGGGTCAAAATAATCAAATCTCCGGCTCTGGTCAAATTCGGAAATTTCAAAAACTTGAATTTTTTAAAGTTCTCGAAGTTTGTACAAAATTTCCGATAATTTCTTAAAGGCTGAATATCTCAGGGAGTTTTTCTTGAGGCTATCCGGGCCGACAGGGCCAGTTCACCGATTTACCGTGTCGGCCCGGAATAAGATAAGCATGTTCAAAATAACATTCAAAACAAAATTGCAATAACATTCAAACTGATATTTGAAAACCAACTTTTTCCAAATTTTAATTGTCGGAGTTTAAAATAGTATTCAAGCTGTAGCACTAAGAGAGTTGCCCGATTTAATAAAAAAAAATAATTCTGATGAAAATCGAATCACAACTGATATAAAGATCCTTGTCTACCCAATCGAAAACAAGAGATAGCGGCATCAGGCAAAAAAAGTTGGGGATGGCAAACGAGGAAACAAAAAGGTTTTCACTATCTCTTCATTTCCCCCAATATCTCTGTTTCTCTCAAACTCTGGGACACAGACACCGTTGGATCCATCGAGAAGATGGCGGACATCTGCGTGTAGTTTGCAGCAACGTTGTTGTGTGCATCCATGCCGTTCCAACGTGAGACGACACACAAGACTAGGCCACTGGGTTGCCGTTTTTTTTTCTTCTCTTTTTTTCTTCCGACAAACAGATAGAGTATGGAGAGACACAAACCAAGAAGAAAATGAGAGACAAAACTGAAAGGCATTTTTTCTTTCCTCCGGCGAGAAAAAAAATGCAAGAGTGAGAGAAAAGAGGAGAAAGAGTTTGGATATAAGTGGGTGGATAGAAAATACGTCATATTTCATCGTTTGATTTCATCAGGTAACGGTGATCTTTGAAGAAAAAAGGTGAAACTGTCTGGCAGATAAGGTCAATGCAGATTGCAATCTTATGCATATTTTTGTTGGCAAACGAAATTGCATTTTTCGGCGTCAGAATGGGGTCAAAGGGTGAAGAATTTAGGGAATTTTTCGAGAAATTCCAGGATATTGGTGAAAAAATTCCAGGATATTACAGCTAATTGACATCACCAAAAAGTGCAAAACAATAAGAGAACGACAATTTTGATAATTTACTTACAAGGGAACCTCAGCACCTCACAAACCCAGATATTGATGAAAATTTTAGGACAGGTTGAAAATCTCCTATCTAGACACCTCTGACAATTTTAAAATCTGCCCGCCAGTTTCAGCCGAGTTATATCAGTTTCAGTACCGCAAATCGCCTTTTCAGCGCAAAAGCACCGTTTTCAAAGACGATTTTCTCAAGTCGGAGGACGTTTCAAAGAATTAAATTTGTTGTGTTATACTTAAGCTTTAATGAAATTTGATATTTCAAACTTTTTCTCAAGAACAAAAACATGTTTTATTTTTGCATTTTTTCACGATTTTCCAAATTTCTTCGAAAACTGAAAAACAAATGTTTTTGAGCAAAACTTTGAAATATCAAATTTCATTAAAATTTGAGTATAACACAAAAAATTTCATGCTTTGAAACGTCCTTGGACTTGAGAAATTCGTTTTTGAAAACGCTTTTTTTGCACAGAAAAGGGGATTTTTGGTACTGAAACTGATATAACTCGGCTGAAACTGTCAGGCGGACACTAAACTTTTCAGAAATGTCTAGATAGGCGATTTTTTAACCTATCCTAAAATGTTCGTCAACATCTGGGTTTGTGAGGTGTTGAGGTTCTCTTGTTAGGAAAATTAGATTTCGATAGAAGAACAATAAAATTGTCACAAAAGTTTCAGATTAGCAACATCATTAGTCTTTCAAAAAAATTTCAATTCGTTTACTGCCAACTGAAATCACCAAAATTTCCTGAACACTTCAATTGTATGATCCCCAAACCGTCCCCTTTAAGCCGGTAAATCTTATTCGTTGTAAAATATATCGAAAAGTGATTAACAGACAAAATGTTAATGATAGCATCAAAAATATTAGGTCCGTTGACGACTCTCTGATATTTGTCACAGGGACCGAGATAAATTGGTTCAAAGTTGAAAGTTAGGGTGTGTCATTCTATTAAGGTGTTTACGGTATACAAAAAATGGGAGAACTGATTTTTTGTACATAATCTTATTTTGAGTTAAGGTTCAGATAAGATAAAATTAAAATTCCCACAAAAGTTTCAAATCTTTTTCTTTTCTCATCCTTGAAATCGGAACTTCAACATCACCATTAATGAATAAATGCTGACCTCTAATTTGTCTTTCTGGGAAGTAATTGTATTTTTATATCTCTGATTACGCTTTGAACCGTTGATGGGTTTTTAGATTAATGTGGTGTATTAGCTATCTACCGTAAATACTTTAATGGAAAACTACCCCATCCGGGCACTTCGAGCTCAGAAGATATCAAAAACATGTCAACAGATAAAATGTTTTTGTAAAATTAATAACATTTTATCAAGTGACCCATTTTGCATATCTCTCACGGAAATTGAGATAATTGAACTCAAAGTTGACGGTGTAGGTGAGATTCGATCAGTGGAAATCGGTATTTTTAGTGTACTATCAAAGTTAATATTCTCAAAATTTCAAAAATCTAAAAATCTGAAATTGAAGTTTGTATAAAAAGTCAGTCACGTGGTCAGCCCACCACTGACTTCTAAATTGTCATATTCCAGAAATTACAATATCACAATCAACATTTGTGTGTGCCACTCTATAATGTTTGCTGCTACGTAATTTGTGTTGTATTTCCTTCCCGATAAGAGCACATCGTAGGGGAGAAGAGCATGAAGAGGAAAAGATCGGAGTGTCTGAAAAGTATTAGCACTGTACACATGGTGTCAACAGTTTTTTGTTTGAGTCATGGTTCATAATGTTTAGAACTAAAACAATTTTGAAATAATGTCATCTAGCTTGTTGAAAAATCTAGGAAAATTCGTTTTGTTCTACTTTGTCAGCCTGTTTTTTATATTATACTCGTAAGTACACTGACTTTTCGATTCAGTTCTTCGTGACGGTTTTCCTAACCTTTTCTTTCCCTCCAGATAAGATCCACAGGGAGGGCAATTGGGTGACCACAATTTTACGGCCAATAAGTCTCGTTTTGTATACGTTCTTCTCCTTCTTTGATAAAAAAGATGACGTCTCGTTTGGCGCGCGCGGGATTGAGAGAAAAAGACAAGAAAAGAATGGGTCATGTATATATCCCGGGGAAAAAGATTTAGGTCAACAGCCAGCAGTCTGTCCTTGCAAGTCCGATCGGCCCACCGCCACGGCACTATTCACAGATTTCATTCTTCTTTCTTAACCGCGCTAAATCATTACGGAATTTTCGCTAACGAACACTTTTGAAACTTTTTCTTGCGGTTAGAGTCGACATGTTTGGTGTTAAAATAGCCTACACTAGAAATGTCAATCAGTCATAATTCTAAAACTATAAATATTCTTTGTGTCCCCTTTTCCTGAATTTCCCATCGTTGTATTCTAAAAATACATTTTTCAGAAACATGTCTCTCCAAGAAAAGTTCGACGCCGCTGTTGAGATCATCCAGAAACTCCCAAAGACTGGTAACCCTTCCAAATTCTTTCATACCCTTTCAATCTAGTAATTTCTAGGACCAGTCAGTACCACCAACGAACAAAAGCTAACATTCTACTCGCTGTTCAAGCAGGCCACAATCGGAGATGTGAACACCGATAGGCCAGGAATTTTCTCGATCATCGAGAGAAAAAAGTGGTGAGTGTGTGTATTTCTGTTTGATTGTTTCAACGTCTCCAAGGTTTCGTAATGGGTTAAATGAGTCACGTTTGTGTATTACATCAGACATATAGATAGTGTGATGATTTTTCGATTTTTGACATCAGAAAGGTGTCCGCAAAAATGCCGTTATCAATTTTCACCGAAAATGTGGTGGTGCCACAATTAGGCTAGGTGAAAGGAACGGATGATTTGAAAACCGGAAACGAATGACCTCTGGTCACTGAAGTGTGATGTTAAAACTGTAAAACCTGTAACAGAAGGGTCCATGACTCTTACTTTGAGCTCAATTATCTCAGTTGCTTCTAAAGAAATTTAAACAATTCCAACTGACGAATTATTTGTCATAATTTCACCAATATTTGTTCAGTTAAAAGATTTTTGATATCTTTTATAGGAACCGAGGTAATTGAACTCAAAGTGCAAGTACATGTTTAGATTCTGTTAGAGAAAATACGGTAGTCCTCTTATGATCAATCCAATAAACTCCGGCCAACATATTTTGGACAAACATCAACTATTTATAAAACTCATCTGTAAAACGACTTGAAGAATAATTGCCGGTGTTAAATTCTAGAATGTTTTTTCTCTTAGACAGTCGTTGTTTGAAAAATTAGCCAGTGCAAGTTCAGTTCTAGACTTGGCTTTCAATTGTCGAGATATTGGGACCAAACGAAAATGTGTAACATCTTTTTCATGACGAGTTAAACATTGTGATTCAAAAACCAAATTGTATCACTGTCAGCACTGTTTAAAGTAATCAAAATACATTTTATCGCATTTCCTTGAATAGAAGCCTACCAAAACCGTAAAGTTCTAGCTCAATTATCTCGATTCCTGCTGAAGATATCAGTATTTTGTTAACTAAAAGTTATTTATCGTAACATCACTAATATTTTATCAGTTGACATATTTTTAATATTTTTCATAGAAATCGAGATAATTAAGTTCAAAGATGGGTTGAATAGGCTTATATGTATGAGAAAAAATACGGTTTTCTTCTTTTAATAATCGATTGATAAAGTTTTTATATGGTACAAAAATGTTATCTGATTGAAACAGAACTTTCAAAGACAGAAATCATTTCAGAATTTCGTATTTTTCATTTTCAGGGACTCATGGAAGGAGCTAGAAGGAACCTCGCAAGACGATGCTAAACAGCGTTACATCAAGGCTCTCAACGACATGTTCGACAAAATCGCCGAGGTTTGTCAATACCATAATTGATTAATAATTTATCTTTCCTTTTTTCCAGGAACTTGACGTCGCTGCTTGGCTGGAACAAATCGATCCAGTGATCAAGACAAACCTCGCTCTCATTGGGAAGTGATCGCTTGGCAAAAGCTCTAGAAATCCTGCTTGAAGTAATATTTATACACAAAGTTTTATTTTTCTAAAACTAAAATTATATATTTTAAATAATATTTTCATTTAATAAACTGATCACCAATATCTACTTTGGTATTGCTGAAGAAGAATCGGAAGAGAGTCGGAAACCCGGCAGGAGAAAGTTAAATCGGAATACATAAGAGATCAGTCATAAGAAACAAGAGATAATAGAGAAGACGAAAGCGCGTCGAAATTTTGAATGAGGAAATAAAAGTGAAAATTAGATTTCTCCGAAAAACAGTGGAGAATGTTATCATAGCCGCTCCTTTTTCTCCATTTCTTCTCTTCTTTTATCTTCCTGGTATGCGAAAAATTGGAAGGTACGGTAGACCACATGTAGAAATATGCAATTGATAATGATGACAACAGCCATAGCAGCCAAAATGGCGGTTGTGACCAAAATTGCGGCTGAAAACAATAATTGAAATCTGGAATTTTACACTATGGACCCACTTGTAAAACTTTCTCTGGTCCGGAAGTGATACTCATCGGGGTTTGCTCGTAAGGCTTTAACGTTTTCGAGAATGTTCCTGAAATGAACTTTCCAGAATTTCCAAGAATTTTTGAATTTTAAAGGTGGGTCCCCACAAGAAAAAACATATTTTTCTTGGAATTCCGTTTGTAAACGCCACTTGAGGGGCTGAACTTGTTGACCCTACTTTGAAGGTCCGCATAGCTACCAGCTGAGCTACGGTGGCAAAAGGTAAGGTGGCCAAACTTACATTACCGGTCATTAAGAATACATTACCGGCCATTAAGAAATACAAAAACGTATTTTCGGTAGATTTTTGGCTTTTTTGACCATATTCAAAAGTCTGGAGCTCGGCTGTCAAGTTTCCGATCATTTTTAAGAGTTTTGAAGTTGTAAACCACATCTAGATCAAAGATTTTGCGTTCACAGAATTTTTGAAAATCCTTAGTTTTTCAACTAAATTCCTGAAAATACCTGTTTTCAATGTTATCCGTACATAACTGTGAAAAAAGAGAGTTTTTCAGAAATTGGCAAGTAGCTATAAACTAGGAATTTTCCAAAAATTTTGTAAATGCAAAGTTTTCAATCTAGGCCTGTTTTACACTCTCCAAAATTTTCAAAATAATGGACAACTTGAGAGACGAGCTGGAAACGCTTGAAAATGGTCAAAATGGCTGAAAATCAACTGAAAAAACTTGTTTTAGTTTATTTGTTTGACCGGTACTGTGAATCGGTCAAATTTTATTCAATACGTGGATTTCTAATTTTCAACAAAAAAATTAGTCGGAATTAATTGTTTTTTTTTCCTCACCTTGAAACATCACTGGAACCCTTTAGCATATGGTACACAAAGACCAAAAACAAAATGATCATTCCAAAATTCCAAATCGCCTGAATACGGGATACTCGGAAACAATTATATTTTCCAAAATTTACATTATAGAACAAGTAGGGTTTTAGCATCCCAGCACGTTGTTTGGACACACCACAGAGCAATGTGAGCAAAGAGATGCAGTCGAAAATAAGAAGGAACGCTTCGAGGTATCCTGCAAAAAAGAAGAAGTAGTTAATCACAAAAAATGATTCACCATTAAGTCCTAGCTTTGAGATTCCCATGAAGTAAAGGACAATATTTATGATAAATCCGATTATGGCAAATATGGCAACTGTTCGGCAGGCTTTCTGCAACTCCTTTCAAATAAAAAAAGCTTTCCAAAATTTCTAGAGCACCTGAATATGACAAGTGTTGCAGCAATAATGACTAGGTGGAATTGGGTCTTCGGTGAAGCCCAAACTCACGATAGTCTCTCGTTGTGGTGTTTTCATTACGCCGTTTCCGTTTTCACTCCCATTTGCATCTGGAATCATGAAAGTGTAATAATAGTAGTAGGGGTAGATGATTCTCGAGTCTTGGCTCATGAGATTTTTTGAAGGACTATTCGCAAAAAAGGAGGACGGGGCAAAGTGCCGGAAGCATCGAGGACAATTGAATCTTGTTCGGAAAATGTGGAAAATGTCAATTGTTCTTCTAGCTAGTTCAGAAACTCTTTTTTTTTCCTTTCAACTCACAATGTGGAATTTTAATAATCGAGCAATTAGGATCATCCGACTCTAGCACCACCGAATACGGTTCAAAATTCATCAGACACAGGATTGCAGCGGGCAGGAAAAATAGGAAGAAGAAAAACACGACTACCACCACTACATGCAGAGGTGATATAATGTATTCTAGGATAGCGTGTGTGGCTGGAGAAATCGCTATCAAATATAGAAGAATATTCTAGTAGTTTATGGCTCAGATTTGTATGACTCCTCAAGTCGACTTTTTTTTGGGTAGAAGGAGGATTTGCAGGTGTGTGTTGTTTTTTGCTTAGAGAATCGCTTCTTTGGGAAGAGCACATAAATCATACCCATTCAACCACACCTAGCCATTTTCTTCTCACAATAAACGGGTTGACGAAGACGTTCCGTCACAGATGAGGAAGAGGAAGAAGAGTCATAATAAGACGGAAGTGGAATAAAAATCATGCGAAAAGAGAAGGATCACAAAACTAATTCGTGTTATGGACATGGAAACGTTCAAATTTCCGTTTGATCAGATGGAAAGACCAGAGATTCGAGAAATCAGAAAACGTAGAAATTTGGGTTCTGACTAAATTAAAATAAGGAAAGTTCGTAACAGGATTCCAAATTCCAGAAAATTTAGAACATTTGGGCCATTTTCAAAATGAAATTCGGACCGGAATACCGTATTTCCTCTTATAGAAGCCCACCACTATATGATGCCCACCCTCCGGCGCGCTGAAAAACATAGGAACGCAACCTCTAACAGAAGTTTGGACTACTTGGTTAATGCAGAAAGTTTCTTTGTTTTTTAAACATTTCCTTGTGATTTCCATTTCTGAGAATTCCCAGAGGATTGGCTTCCATTAGAGGAAATACTGTATTAACTTTTTTAGAAATTATAGCTGGATTTTCAAAATTTCGAGAAATCACGAAATTTTTTGTGTTGAGAAGTTCCTAAATTTTCAAAATCAGAGTATTCAAATACCTTAAATTTTCAAAATTGGAAAATTCCGAAATTCCGAACTTCTCAAAATTAGAATATCCAGAATATTAAAATATTCGAAAGATTGAAACTCAGCGTATTTCGAAATTCCCAAAGTTTTTAAATCGGAATATTGCAAAGTTCCAAAGTTCAATATGTGAAACTCGGAATTTAAAGTAGATGGAAGAGTTTGAAGGTAAAAATCCACAACTCTCTGAATGACCGCATCCCTCAGCCGGTATTTTATTTTTGAGTTTTACATTCGTTGAATCTACAGAAGAAATTATTTGTGAGATTTTTTCAATGTTTTCCTAATTTTTTTTGAATAAATATCGGAGAATATGACAAAAAAAGAATTATATATGGAAATTCACAAAAATAAGGAATTTTTGATTTTCCAATTAAAATTTAACTAAAGGCGTTCGAGAGAAATTCTAGGAATATCGTTTTGGTGTCCCGCAGTCTTTAAAACCCCAAATTTCAATAAATCCCAAAACTTCCGTTATCCCGCCTTTAGAATTTTTTTTCTACCCCACTTCAAACTTCGAATTACCCTCATCACCTCTTCGATAATGCCCCTCAATAACGACCATGGCGTACTTTTCGCGCCCTTATCACTTGATAGTTGGGCCCCTCAGTCATTAACCGATATTTATGTGGTCTCATCAGTTTTCCTGGGAGAAATCATCAGTTGTGGAAGCTACGAGAGATGGGAGGAAGTGTAATGATGAAGAGTTGTATTGGGCCCCAAGGTGAGAAGCAAATAAAAACAGGGAGACGAATCCCATTTATCATTCGGAAAGCCTTTTTGTTGATAAGAGTTTACACATTCGCGCCTTTGAAAATGAGTGATTATGATTGCGGAAAGTGAGGAATTGAGCAATCGGGCTCGTGATATCTACCAACTAGCAGAAAAACAATATGGGAAAAGGTATATACTAAACTAAACTAAAGTGAGCCCCTCCTGAGAAACCGCATTCTGGACTCCTTCATGAATTCAAAAAAGTTTCCGGAGACCCCCAGTAGAGAAAAAAATGGAAAAAATAAAATAAAGTGAACCGGAAAGTATCAGGTTACCTGGTGGTGGTGGGTGGGGGGAGAACAACAAACCACTTGTTCAAAAAGATCAAAGAGAAAAATCGAATAGTTGTTCAAGAGTCAGACAAAGTAATGTAGAACAGAATGTGTTCTACAATCAGAAAACATGATTTGGAGCCGATTAAACGATGTTTTTTGGGGAAAAATTGTTTTAGTAGTTATGGGGAGACGACTTAAGTGAGATTTGTGCAGAGATTTGTAGTGTTACGATTTTAAGTCATCAATTAGTCATCGAAAGTGATAGCAAGTGACAACATTCAGAATATGATTAGAATCTTGCAGAATAGTTTGTTTTACAAAGGGTTTCAGCACCAGATTCTGTTAAAATTTTGAGAAGAGCTGTATAATAACTTGTTTCAAAAATTCTAGTGGGAAGGTTAGAGAATTTGAAAAATTGATTTCTTAATTTCTAGAACGTTTTGAAGCATAAAATTTGTTGCATTATACTTGAAATTAAATAGAATTTCATATGTCAGACACTTCTTTATCCAATTTTTCAAAATTTCGAAAAGTTTGTTGGAAAAATTTGGAAATTGCGTTGGAAAAATTCGAAAATTTCGGAAAAAACGCTCTGAAAGTTGAGAAAATCATCGTTGAAATTCGCTGTTTTTGGACTGAAATTGGTAATTTTTGATACTATAACTCTACTAAGCAAATTCAAAAAATTTCAGAAGTGTCTATATAGGCTATTCTTAACTCATCCAGAAATTTTCATATAAATCTGAGTTCCCAAGGTGTTTAGATTTCCTCCTTGAATTTTGAAATTCCACGAGGAATTGTTCGTTTTCATGAAAATTCAATTTTCGTTTAAAAGATTTTCTAAAATGAGTTTTTGTCGAAATTTTCATTTTTAATTAGTAAATTGGTATTATCAAACATGCTCGAATTAAAGTATAGGTCCTTTCATGAATTTAGGAAACTGCGGGAAACTGAAAACCACCAAGAAAGAGCTAAAACCCAAAGATTTCCCCCACTTACTCTCGTCTTGCCTCATTAGTATTACCTTTGAGCACGATGATGCCGGGAATCGAGTGAATATTATATTTTTTCTTCATCAACAGCTTAGGCATACTTGCCGAACGCTTCATGTCGTTGTCATTGCGCATTCTCTCCTCCTATTCTTCTTCTGTTCTTCCTATTTTTTTTACTTCTCACTTCTCGTTTCTTTTTTATATTTATTTTCAACAAAAAAGAAGAAGACGATACCTAATATGGAATTGGGACAGAATATAGCGTTGTCACAGCGTCGCGTCCTTTATTTCTATTTTTCAAAAGAAAGAGTAGAAAAATAGAAAGCGAATTTTTTTGTGTTCAAGCTCGCCTTCAGAATGGGGAGTGCCGAAAACAACAGTGAAGATTTTTCTTTCAATGTGATTTGGCAAGTGTGTGCTGAGTTAGGGTGACAAGGGCAGAAAGAATACGTTCAAGGAAAGGAAGGGAATGCAAAAGTTGCATTCTTCGTTGGGTAAATTCAATTGACACTTTACCCCCTATTTAGGAGATTGAAACTTTTGAAACCTTTTTGTTCTTTTTTGTTCTAAGGGTCGGTTGCTTGGGAATTAGTTGAATAAAGGACAGATATTTTCTTTGAAATCCGAGAGAACAATTCTAAAGAAAATTGGAATCACGAAGATTTGAAGTTTGAGGAGATTTATTTAAAAACCAAAAAAATGTTTTCAGACATTTTTTCTTTTTTAATTTTTTGAATAAACCCAAATGATGGAAACATTTGAAATTTTGAAAAATGACTTTTTCTAGAAACTGCGTGAAAATAAAATTTTAATTTATGGAAGCAACGGGAGTTGAGAGGTACCACTGAAATTTTTACTTGATTTTGTTAGTTTTTGCGTGACATTATACTAATTTTGAAATTTAGAGTGGCCGGGATTTTTCGACTTTCAGAAGAACACTTTTTTAGAGACTTTTTGAGTTTTAGAAGAATATTTCAGTCAAATTTTCATTTAATCACAGGATTTTTTCTGTTTTTAGATGCTGGAAATACTATTTAACATCAGATTCGACTTCTGATAGGCTTTTTTGTTAGGTATCGGCTGATTTAGGGCCTAAGCCCACCTTTCAAGGCTTGAAGATAAGTTTGGGCGGCCACAACAACGTTAATGCTCTAAAACACCCTAGAGTTGAGAAAATAGCATCTGAAAATTGTCGTTTTTGCACTGAAAACACGATTTTTGATACTAAAACATATAACTCGGCTGAAACTGGCGAGCTGATTCTAAAATTTTCTGAAATGTCTACATATGCTGGTCTTAAAAGATTCCGGTTTTTATCAAAATTTGGATTTACGACTGTGGAATGTTTGAAGGATTTAAAAAACTATAGTAACCCTATTTTAGTTCATACAATAGAGCTCCTCTCTATTCGTTATTATCACCCTCTTCACTTCTGGGAGGCCAATTATACTATTTCCTGGTACTTGAATTCCCTTTTCTAACCACCCCACCCCAATATCCTCTTATCCTTCTAATTCAATAGCCCCCCCCCCCCTCCGAAGCCCCACTTGTTAACCGCTAATCGACCCCGCAAATGACACAAAACGATCCATCATCGTTCGAAGCGATCACCCGCCCGTCTACGTCGGTATCTTCCACTTGTTTCTTCTTGTCCATCATGTCTTCAGGAGCCCTTGTCGGAATCTTATGTTTGTTTTAAACCCGGATTCATACTTTTCCATTCGTCCTCCTGGTCCGATAAGAGAGTACAAATCGGATGGGGGAGAGGAGCGGGGGGAAAAGTTGAAAGAAGAACAAGAAAGATAGATTTATCAGCTATCACATGTAGAAAAAAATGAAAAAAGAAAATTGGTGTGGATGTGAGGTTTGAAAGTTTTTTGGGGTTATAAGATTGGTATCAAAAAATGAGATGCATCATCTGTTTTGAATCAATAGAAGAGGAACTTAAATCATTAAAAGAGGAACTTTTTTTTGAATTTATTGGGACCAAATGTTGGAGGTAAAGTGCAAAAATGTGTTTTTCACATTTTTGGTTTCTTTTCAGGATTTTGAAAAAATCTTTCATTTGTGTTTCCGAAAAATCGTAACAGAAACCGAGAAAAAGTTGCTTAAAATTTAGAGGGCTCTTCTGTCACAGGTCTTACGGTATATGACAACTAACTTGTTATACGGAAAACGGTTCAGGTTTTGAAATTAAATAAAAACTTAAACTGTGAAAAGTACTCACGTGATCTCAAAGATGTTTGCCTTGGCTGCCTTGGTAGCCGATTTGTTGTAGGCATAAGTGTATTCCCATAGGTTACTGTTCTAGGTGGTGGTGACGGTTTTGGTGCTGGCACAATCTCTTCCGATATTCCATTTTCATCTTTGCTCCGTTCAATTCGAATCGAAGGAATTTGTGGCACAGTTGGAGTTGGAGTCGGACATGGTGGTGTTCTCGCATTGCGCGCCATTTGAACTGAACAAAGGATTTAGGGGGTGGGACCTTCAAGAGACGACCAGACAGACGGATGATCGGACGGGGCGGGGACGAATAAATGCCTCTACCACAGGCAGCTCAAACTAATTGTCTTACACCAACACGACTGCTGTCACTATCGACGCGTTTTCACTAAACGATGAGCACCTCGTTGGGGCTTGATACCAGAAACAAAATAAAAACAAAATTCTCTCTTTTTTTTTTCTTTTTCGTCTTCTTTTCCGTGTGCACTGCCGTCACCATCACGGCGGGCCCCCGGTGAGAGGAAGGTGAGAAAAAGAATGATTTATGAATTTTCCGGTAATGGATAGGTCGGGGAGTAATAAAAAGAGATTCATGCACTTACTTTGAGATATATATTTTGTCGGGAACCAAAAAATTGGGACAAAAATGGATGAAAATAGGTCACAAAGTGAACTTTCCTGAAGAGAACGTGATTTTGTTGATATCTATGAATTTTCGATCGAAAATCATGTTTGAATACATGCAATTAGAAGAAGAAGTTCTTAAAAGTCAAAAATATGATGGCTACGTTAAAAAAGATTTTTTCTTATGTCAAAAAATATATTTTTCAGAATCGAAACACAAAACACTGCGAAGCATTCATTTTTCTCAAGATCTACTCAAATTGAGAACAAAAACAAAAAAAAATTAATTAGGTTTTGTGGGAACAAGTTGGTTTTTGATAACTGTGCTTTGAGATTTTAATGGAAAAACTAGAATTCTAAAAAAAATCGGAAAAAGAACGATCATCAGCAATATCATTCTGGTACAGAAAAATCGGTTCTTTCCGAAAAGACAATATAAAAAAAATAATTTTGTGAAAAATCCCTTTCAAAATGTACTGAAATTCCCAAGCATAAGTGAAATGTTACAGTTTTCACTGGATTTTTTGAAGATCATTCCGTTTTTTTCTATATTTCGGGAATAGGGTTCCCAGATTAAGCCTGGTTAGGACCGTTGTCGCAATTCTTGGGACCGGTGGTCCGAAGATGGGACCGGCAGTTCGGTTTTGAGACCGTTCTTCGCGGAAAGAGCCGAAAAATCGAAGTTGTGGAAGAAAAACCTCGGTGACCGTGGCTCCTAATGTCACAGAACGACAACAACCGTAACCTGAAAAAAAGTTCCGGATTTATCAGCTTGATGTTGCGCATTTTTTTTCGACTTTTTTACTATACATTTTTTCAGTTTGCGCGGGGAATCATAACAAAAAACCCGACAAAAAACAGTGGAAAATATTTGTTTCAATTTTTTTCTCGAAAAGCAGCCAAAAATACAAATTATGTACTGTATGATTTTGTACCGTACGTCACTGTTTACAAACAAATAAATCAAATCTAAAAATCAAGAAATAAATCCTAACAAGGAAAACTCAGATTTTGATGAAGATTTCAGGATATGATAACAATGGTTATCTAGATCCCTCTGAAAATTTTAGAAAAAAAAAAAGGAAAACTGTTTTTCTTATGTCCCACCATCTTTATATCAATCGTGGTGGTCGCATCCAAAAATATAGGCTGTCAGTAATCGTTTAGGTTGTCAATAAACAATGCGAAGAACCCAGCCACCGGCTCAAAGTTGTATTTTCGGCCAAACGAGAAAATCAGGCTTCAGATAAGAAAAGCTCCGTCACAAGCATCGTCACAGCATCCATGAATGGAGAACTCGACCAATCTTGGGTAGATGAACCTCGAGAAAGATTACAAAATATCAAGAATAGCAAGTCATGTCGTTCAGTAGTAAGTCTGTGATGCTTTTAAAAGTGATGGGAAGAAGAAAAAAGAGGCAAAACCACAACCGTCCGGTTATCTCATACCCACCACCGCATCATCTGGACTGATTTCCATTTTCATAGATTGGTTCGTGTCGAAATCAACAAAAACATGCATGTCTTTCCGCATTTTTTCCCCGAATCGATTTGTTATTTTCTTCATCACATGTTGGCGCTTTGGCAGCCATGGAGGGATTGCTCGTACTGTCAAAATTTTGGTTTGTCATAGCGGACAGAATGTTACACACGCATGTCCTATACTCATTGGCTGCCGTGCGACTGTAGGATTGCTGTTCGTAATCACTCGTGATTCGTTTTTGTCCTCATCGTCCGTTGTCCTCCCGGCAGCCATCCAGTATTCAGAATTTAGAATTGCCAGTGTTTAGATTTGAACGACGGGCAGAATATTCCAAACGCATGTCCTCAGCACCATTCACTGGGCGTCGGGTGACTGCAGAGTTGTTGCTTGTAAGAAGCTTACGGCTCCATTTTTTTCCTCATCGTCCGTTGCCCTCCCGGCATGGAGGGTCACGCTTACTCTCCAAATTATGGTTTGCCAGTTTTAAGACGTGAACAGCGGAAAAAGTACCACACGCATGTTTCCATCGACCCTCATTGATCATCGGACGATGGTCTTTTTCACTTCTCCCTGATTTCTCATTCACACGCTGCTTGTCCAGAGTTTTCACTCAGACTGAAAACTGAACACTGTCTACCTGAAAGATATGTGTGCCCTATCCGAACCTAGCTAGCTCATGTTTCGACAATTTTTTTGTTTTCTGTATGCATTTATTTCTACGATTGCACAAAATAGGAAGTATTTCATACACATATGTTTCTCTTGTGTTAAAAGAAAGTCCGTCAAACACTGTAATCAGTTTCCTTAGACTACACGCATATTTCCATCAATACTCATTTGTTGCCGGGCGACTGTAGGATTGTATCCACATTAAACAATTCTACTCTTAACACTTTTTTTACTTATTCCTGATTCCTCATTCTCTTGTGACCAGCCATAAATATTCTTATATTAGTTTTCATTTTTTTGTTTAAGTTACTTTTTTAGTGCCTGAGAAAAACTTTGATTTGTCCCCTAATATATAAATCTCAGAATTCCATAAAATGGGTAACAGGTATGTCTACAAAAAAAAAGCACAACTTCTGTAAGGTCCTGTGCGTTCAAATTCGTAAATTTTTCTATACCAGTGACAGGTACTTTTTCCCCACATGTAGCAAACTTCTCAGTGGTCCAAAGCTTCAAGGTTATAAAAACATCTTCCTTTCTCTCTTTTGTATACAGTCTCTAAGCAATCTCTGACCACAGATTTGAATTCATGTTGTTTCTGCAGACCCATAGACGTCCGCATATGTTTTTTTTCCTTTTTCGTGGCGAGACTCGCTGCCTCTCTAAGCACTAAGACCACATACGTTCTGCGGGGTACCGAAGATTTTGAAAAAGGCTTCTTATTTTCCTCTCCTTTCTCTTAGAATTTCATGCTTATTTTCAGCAGAATGCTTACACAGGCGATCGAAAAGGGACTTATGACCGATATGGGTGGCGGACTCGAGTATCCCCTGGACCGAAGCGGTTTGCCAGATTTCAAAAACCATGGTATTCACATTTTCTAAAAATTCTTCATGCGCTAACTGTTATTTTTCAGATAATCCACTTTTACGCGAATTTGAGGAGAAGCAAGCAAGGAGTTGGAAGGTGGTCGACGAAGCTGAGCCACAGGATTTCACTGAATTGAGACCTGTCTTCAATCTTGGAGTCGGATTCGTGCCAAAAGAGGCTCATTCAGTTGTCCCGGATATTCTCAGATATTCTCCAGACTATTGGAACCCTGTAGCAGATGGAGGTTAGCTAAAATTTTCTTTATTTTGTGAATATTTAAGTTTTTCCAGATCATTTCCCGGATTTCGATACCAATCAAGGAATGAGAGGTCAAGGAACATCCAACTATGTCCCATGTGATTTTTGGGATATCCCGAACGGAGGTGAAGTGGAAAAGTATCATAGGCTTCACCTCTAAAATTTTTTCAGACGATTTGGCTTTGCATTCAATGAGTGCACATCATTCAGACGATCATTTGGGATACACACGTTTTGATGACCTCACCCCAAAGGACCGGAAAATGAGCAAGAAACAGTCAGCTGAAAAAAGACCAAGAAAGGGCCGGCAGAAGAAAGTGGATGGGAAGGCAGCTAAGAAATCCAAGAAATCGAAAAATGGTGAGTTCCAGAAACATGGGGGGAGAGGGGGGGGGATACTATCACATAGGCCATCGTTTAGCAGGTTCTCCTGTGAGAACGTAGTTCAGTTCAAGCACCGTGGCGCTTTTGATACTGTACTTCCTCTTATGCTCACCTAAACTGTCAGGCTCAAGTTTTATGGTTTCGGTAGGCTTCTGTGAAGGCAAATACAGTATCTATGAAATACAGTAGCAAATACAGTATCTCGAAAATACAGAATATCAAAAAATTGTTAACGCTATTTGTCTTAAAAATAAAAACACTTCGGTACATATGATTTTTGGTTTGCTCAGTGCGGTGAAAGTAGATCAAATGAAAAATATCTCAATTTCGACAGTCCAAAAATGATAGGACACTTTTCGAAGACCGTCCATTTTTCGAGTTTTTGAACCATTAAAAAACTTTCAAGTATTAGGTTGAACAAAAAGTCTTTGTAATTTTTGAGTTTTTTTTCCAAACTGAATTTATTCAAAGAAAACGAGATTCATGGTGTGATATATTTATTATTAGTATTAATGACTTTTTCCAACGTGATGGAAGTTGATCAATCTCATTCGTGTAGAACTCGGAAGACTGGGAGCCAAAATGGTCGTCCAACCACTTTTTGACATCTTTTTTATCATGGAATTTCGATGGCCAAGATGATTCTGCAGGGAACATAAAAATGATATTCAAGTAGGGCCAGGTCTGGTGGACACGGTGGATAACACAAGGTCTGGACTCCGAGCGTCTGGAGCTTCTGGCGTTTGTTCAAAGTAATGGGTGGTCTTGCGTTGTCATGAATCGTCAACAAGTTGAAATTTTTCGGGCGGTTTAATCGATAAGCCTGGGCCACTATTTTATAAAATAGCAGTTTATGTCTGCGTTGTCAGTGACACCGTTTGAAGGAAGTCTTCTGAAGTTAACGCCTTCGATGCCCCACTAAATGGACAACATAACTTTTTCTCAAGAAGTTCTGTTGTGATGTCATATTTGGCGATTTCCTCAGGCGGGGACCGTTGCCTACTTTTACTCATCAATAGTGATAATATACTTCACCCAATTTATTGTACGTTTCATAGTAAGCAATAAAAATGCCGATTAGTAAGCAAAAAAAATGCCGAGACCAAGCTTTGGACCTCTTCCAGATTCATGAATATGATCAATGATCGTTCCTTGAGGACGCTTGAGACTTGCTGCAAGATTGCGTGACGTTTCTTTTTGTTCTTCTTCTAGCGCTCTAGAGGTATCCTCGTTGAGATCTTCACGGATCTTGGTTTGTCTTTGAGATCGTAATTTTCTTCGGCGATTGCTTTAAACAAAAACTTTGTTGTAGTGTATGGCATATTGTTTTCACCTAACTATGTACACAATTTACGACAAGCTACGCTGCATTTGTGACCTTGGAGAAACTCGTTCAAAAAAGCACCCCTGAGAGCATGGTCGTTTGTAAGCAAATTCTCGGTCATTATGGACGCTGTCGGTAATTTTTAGCAAATGTTTTAAACATGCGCAACTGGTACTACAACATAAAAAAACAGAATAATAAAAAATTGAACCAACGCTGAGACATGACCATCCAAAAAAATTACAGACTTTTTGCTCAACCTAATACTAGAAAAATTTTAAAACTTTTTTATCATGTTCAGTGTTTTTGGTTTTGATTCATATCACATTCTGTCTATCTCAAGGGATATTTCAGTCAAAATAGAAATTTTAGAAAAGTGCTCAAAAATTTTCGAAAACTAATCAAATGATTTGGAAAAACCCCAGAAACATGTTTTCTAATTATATTTCTTAAAATTATGAAATCGGCAAACTTGTCATTTCGATTTGGCTTGATCAGTTGGAGCACAATTTGCTCCTGAAGGATTTTGTAAAAAAAATGCTCAACATGCAGCTCGCGGAGTTTCTAGATCAAATGCGTCTCCAGGAGCCGTTCGCGGAGTACCACGAGAAAGAAACAATCATCAGACGCATTCATAACTGGACTTTATTGACCCCTGAGATGAAATCGTCCCTCTTTGGTATTGTTGACATACAGTAATGATTATCGCATTAATCGTTTTTTTTTTCATACAAATGACCCTTTTCACTTTCTCCAATTAGATTCTATGCTCTAACTTTTTTTCCTCCTCCTCAACACATCGAAGATGGTCGTTTTGGTTTGCCCTTTTTTCCTCCAAAATCTTTCTTCATATGCATCCTGTACCAAACACAGAACAAGTATTCGTTTTGCGTTTTGCTCCTACACGTGTCTAACATTTTTCTGTTGTTGTTCATCTCCCCTTTCCGACGACGGTGAGACTCTGTCAATTTTTGAGAAATCGTTGCCTCTCGATGAAATCCAACAGTCTCCTCACCGCCCTTTTTCATGCCTTGTACTTTTCTCATCTTTATTTTGTGTGTTTTCTTCTACTTTTGAACTTGATGCGTTGTAAATGATTCTCATATCCCATCACAGTCCCATTCCCCACTGCTCCTGACCTGTCGACCCGATCTTTCCGGTTTTTTTGCCTCCCACTATAAGAAACGCATGAATGTTCTACCTAACACCCTAGGTCTTTATATCTTCATTTTCGCGATCCATAATTTGTAAACATCAACATTCGAAACTACCAATTTGTTTATTAACCTCATAACTACTTCTTTTAAGTAATGAAATTTGACACTTGTAAAAAAGTTGTTCATATCAAGCGCAACATGTATTTTTGTGTTCCCACTTCTCACTTTTACTGAGAACACTTGCAATTTGACACCTGACTTTTATCTGCTCTAATAATCTTCAATTTGAACAGTGGACAATACTAGCAACTCATAATCCAAACGTTAATTTATATCAAGGCTGTCGAAACCTGATCAGCGGTTTCTTGGTTACAACACTTTTGGGATATGTGGGATTCGGTGGCCTAGCGGCTCTAAAAACTTCTGGGTGGCAGAGATTATTTCTGAAAAATGGGCAGTTTGGTCCACGGCAACCTACCCAATGCTCCTGTTTTTGATTCATGGCCTTTTGAACGAACAAAACGGTTCCCCCAAAGAAACGTTTCTTTGCAACACACTGGCAACGAGGGTAGGGTGACCATTTCATCTTTAAACCATGCTTTTTTGCGCACACACTACTCATCTCGCTTCCTCCTTTTGTCATTTTCCTTACGGGCTGCTTATAGTCTGGTTGCTTTTTACTGCGTCGTACCAAAAATTACTATTTGAGATACAGCCAAAGGTAATCTTCTCGTTAAAGAGCTTTGTCCTTTTCCTCCGTAACATATCATCTGATTTTCATTATCAGAGATTGGTCTGTGTTCGAACCGACCAAATCCGACAAATGTACACAAAGATTTAAGTGATTCTCAATCTCCATGCCTTTTTCTTACTGACAGTGACTGTGAGGTGCTCGTCTTCCTAATTTTTCCTTCATCGCTGATTGGTTTCCCGTCAGCCATTGCATCTACCTTCGAAATTTTGGTTTGCGTGTCTAGGTCTGAAAGACGTACAGAATACGTATACCACACGCATGTCCCCATCAACACTTATTGGCCGCCGGGCGACTGTAGGAACTAGCCATTTCTTACTACTCCCTGTTTTTTTCATCACTTTCTGTATGCATCCATTTCGTTTTCACAAAGCAGGGAGTTTTAAACACAGTGATTTTTCTTGTGTTTCAATGTAAGTGTCCGTCCAACACTGTCCTCAGTTTCTTTCTTCTTGGTAATGTTTGTTTTATTCATCTAGACTCATTTCTTGGTCTCAGTTCTTGACTCGTGCCTTTCTCTTCTTTTGCCTTTTTTCTTTTACTATTGATTTGTTTCTACACGGATGTCAATTCTAGAAAGTCGTCTTCTTTTTTCCTTTTCTCTTTCTGATCTTATCTACCGAACTCTATGCCTCGACCCTGAGGTTCTGGATTTTCAGCTTTCAAACATCTGTGTCGAACAAAACCTAACTATGAACAACTGGGGGGAAAAATACCAATCTGGCCTGCCGGGACCGCGCCCCACTGGTAGGTTATTAAAATTTTCATTGATATTCAAATAAATTTCAAAACGTTTGCTGTGGTGTCCAACAACTTTTTTCAGAACGGGAAAATTGGACAGCAGCCGATTTTTTCGTGATGACTCCAGCGGCTCCGTTGCACAATGCTCAGGAAACTGGTTGGCCGAGTCCAATTTCAACTGGTAAGTTGGCAAACGTTGAAAATCAAAACGTTTTTCTTTTGAAATTAGGTATTGACAAGATCGCGGTTATTGGAAAATTGAATACCGTATTTGCTCCAATAGAAGCTCACCTTTACTTGCACTTCAAGCTCCATTACCTTGATTTTTTGAAGAAATATCGAAAATCTGTCAACTGATAAAATATTGGTCATACTGTGATAATACATTTATCATTTTGATTATTTTTTGATATCGAACTGTGATAATTGAGCTTTCAAGGCACGTACTAGGTGGACTTCTAAAAAAACAAATATAGCATTTCCTAGTCTATGCTTGAAATACAGTGCGTTTCACATTTATACATTCACCCTAATTTTGGAGCATAACAGAATAACCGATGGAAACAGGTATTCGGTGACTAAAAAATATTCAGGACTTCAAATTACATATCCTTGATAGTTTTCATAATGATACCAACAAAACTGGCAAGATTAGGCTACCTTGACTGAAAAATGGCTCTCTGCAAGCGTTTCATGAAAAAGAAAAATCTGAAAAAAAAAAAAAAAAAAAAACCCTGAAAAATCTAAATTTTGCTATGGCTAGTCATATTTCTGAATCGGAATTTTGTAAAAAACATGTCAGGTAAGTATTTACCACCATTGCACAAAGTACAGAACCTGCCGGGTGCTCAGGAATGCAATCGTGGCCGAATGATGCGATTCGGAGCAGAAGATCAGTTCAGGACTACCAGTACATCCCAATTCCTCTTCAATCTATGCCAAATCGTACTTTTGATGGTATCAATTCGTATGGTGCTGCCATCAAACATGAAATTGTCTCTTTTTCTTGTTTTTCTGGAGGTGACCGTATAAATATGAAACGCTTGCAGAGAGCCATTTTTCAGTCAAGGTAGCCTAATCTTGCCAGTTTTGTTGGTATCATTATGAAAACTATCAAGGATATGTAATTTGAGGTCCTGAATATTTTTTAGTCACCGAATACCTGTTTCCATCGGTTATTCTGTTATACTCCAAAATTAGGGTGACAGTATAAGTGTGAAACGCACTTCAACGTGATTTTTCAGCAGTCTCATCGAACTATGACCTGGATAGCATCCAACCTTCGAGCTTTTATCTTGGAGCAGCTTATGAAGCGCTGTTGGAAAACGTCCTGAGCCCGAGCTATCAGCCTCCAAATGCCGAAAACATGAGCTACGGTCATACGGTAAACGGAAACAATCTTTTTGCGGAGCATCACTCACCACAACGTGGATCTAACAACCCACTGCAACCACCGATAGCAATGTCTACCTCATCATCGATGCCTTCCAAGAACACTGTAGCAGATGTGGTTCATAGCTGCCGTTGTTCAGAGGCATCAAATGATGAGCATCTTCAACAAGCGCTACAAATCATGCGCCGACCAAATCCAATGAATACCAATATCAAACAAATTATATTGGAGTTGTTCAAAACCCTCGGAAATCTTGGAATGGAAAAATTCAGTTCCCGGCTTCTGGAAATTCCATATGTGGCTTTTCGGTTTGAAATGAAGTTGGACATGCCTTTTGAATGTTATCACAACCGGGAGGACATCGTCCGGGTGATATTCAATTTTTCACAGTTGCCGAGGTGTATGAGAAACCAGCTTCTTCGTCAATCCAACTGCATTTCAGTCAGGTAACAAAAGATACAGTAATTCAAATATTCAATATTTCTATTTTTAAGTGTTAATGATCCGAGAAGTGCAAACCTGAAAGAAGAAAACAAAAATCAATGGAATCAGTGAAAATGGGTTAATGCGCAGAGATGATAATCACTTCCCCACTCCAAACATCGAACTCGGCTACTTTTGGTATTTTCAATTTTTATTTTTCGCTTTAATCCAACTTCGACCAATTTCATGAACTCCACCTAAACTCAAATAAATTTTTAAATTTTCTTTTTCTTGCTGGTTTAACAGATTCAGAAGTGAAGAAAAACTAAATTTCTAAAGGAATAGGATATTCTCTTAAAGATTCCTAGACCCTCCAACGTCGTCTGACTAATTGAAAGAGTACTATCAGCCAGCTTCTACACAAACGGACTTCCTATGAATTTTTTCTCTTTCAAGTGAAAATCTGAAAACTTCTTTGTGGCAAAGTTATTTTTCTGAAAACAACTAACAAGTTTTTCCACGGCAACCATAGCCCGAGCTGTTAGCCTTTTTCAACAGCCTTGTTTAAGATCTACCCAAGTATGACTTATCCAACGGCATCTTGAACGAACGAAATGGTTCCCCCAAAGAAGCGTTATTTTGGAACACATTGTCAACAGGTGTAGGCCGGCTGCTTCATTTTTTAAACATGTTTTCGCGCATACCCCTCATTTCGCTTCCTTTTTCTGTCATTTTCCTTGCTGGCTGCACACTGTGTATTTGCTTTTTACTGCGTCGTACCAAAGTTTCCAACAGTGCTACAGCCAAAGATAATCTTCTCATTATCGAGCCTTGTCCCCATCTCAATATCATCTCATTTGGTTCTCTCTATCATAGATTGGTCCGTGTCCAAATTGACCATTGATTCACACTTCCCTCGCTTTTTTCTCACTGAGTTGCTTGTTATCCGTTTTCTCCTCCTCACCCGCTGGCCTCCCTGCAGCCATGAGGGGGTTGCTCGTACTATCAAAATTTCGGTTTGTCCGAGCAGACAGAATTTTCCACACGCATGTCCACCGCTCATTGGCTGCCCTGAAACTGTAGGCGTGAACTACGGAGAATTGAACTACGGACAGAATGTACCATACTCACGTTTCTGTAAACACTCATTGGTCGCCGGACCAATGTAGGGTGTCCACAACGATCAATCCTCCGTTCAAACCTTATTTACTAGTTCCAGATTTTTTATTTTCACTTTGCTTCTCCAGAGTTTTCATTAATACGGAAAACTGCCCACTTTCTACCAGAATGACGCGTTAACTGTTTTCGAACTTAACAGGAATCTAAGCTCTGATCTGATTCCCATTGTAACAGATAGGTCCGGTTCCAAAACAGAAAAAATCTGATGGCTCACCGTTAAGATGGGGATGGTTCTCTATAAACTTTGGTATCTTGATAAGTGTCCCAATCACTATTCTTACCCTCTCGTTTTTTTTTCATCGCGTTTCTGTGATTCTTTTTTTTCACCATCACCCCTCGACCTCCCGGCCGCCTTGGAGGGTCACGCTTGATATGAAAATTTTGGTTCTCCATCGACATTCATTGGCCGCAGGGCGACTGTAACGCTGCTCATTGTGAGTTGCTTGCGTTTCAATGTTTCCCTCATCCTCCATTGGCCTCTGGGCAGCCATCGCGCCTTCTATCCAAATTTTGCTTTACCAGTGTTCAGATGTGAACAGTGAAAAAAAATACCACACATGTCCCCATCGACACTTATTGGCCATCGAACGACGGTATTTTTTACTTCCCTCTGTTTTCTCTTTCTGTCTCTGAATGTCCAGAGTTCTCATTTAGATTGAAAACTGAAAACTGACTACCTGAATGATATGTGCAGCCTATCCGAATCTAGCTAGCTCAGAATAAGACAATTTTGTTGTTTTCTGTATGTATCCATTTCTACGATTGCACAAAATAGGAAGTATTTCATCCGCAGATGTTTCGCTTGTGTTCAATGTAGGTGTCTGTTGAACACTGCCCTCAGTTGTTTGTTTTATTCATCTTTACCTAACTTATTTCCTGGCCAGTGTCATTTTACCCATTTTTTCCTCTATTGATGTTTTTCTGAACGAAAGACGATTCTAGTAACTCGTCTCTTTTTCTCATGTTTCCCTTTCTCATTTTATGAACCGAAGCCTGTAATTACTGCTCGACTCTGAATTTTCGAATTTCTAGCTTTCAACAAACTCAATCGAACAAGCAGCGACTGATGGACAACTGGGGAAGCAAATATCAATCTGGCCTTCTGGGTCCGTGCCCCACTGGTAGGTTATCAAACTTTTCATTGACATACAAATCAATTTTGAAGTTTTTGCTCTGGTTTCCAACAATTTTTTAGATCGCCAAGATTGGACAGCAGCCGATTTTTTTGTGATGGCTCCAGCTGGTCCGTTGCTCTATATTCAGGAAACCAGCTGGCCGAGTCCGGTATCCACTGGTAAAATGCTAATAGTTTGAAATTCTATAAAATACATACAGCAAACTTGACATGCCATGTTGCTAAAATCTTCTCAAAAAAATAGAAATAGATTATTCAAAGATATCTTTTGAATGACAGTTTTGCTCTAGTGGAATCCCACCTTTGCAATTATCTGAGTTCCCATGTGAGATATCAGAAATCTGTCAACTGCTAAAATATTGGTAATATGATGAATAATTTGAAAAAGCACGATGAATAATTTATCAGTTAAAACTCTCTGATATCTTACAAAGGAGCTGATATATTTGAGCTTAAAGTGCACGCATACGGCGCGCTTCTGTTAAAGCAAATACAGTATCCACTAATCAGAACTCATTTTATCCTTCAATATAATATTTCAGTCCCATCAAACATTGATGACCAGGATGGCCCAAAGCCTTCGAGCTTCTATCTTGGAGAAGCTCATGATACGCTGTTTGGGGACTTCCTCAGCCAGGTTTCAAATCGAACGGACAACATTATAGCATTCGGTCCATCACAGACACTCATGGGAACGCCTGAAACATCATCGACTCCTCCCAAACACTTGAACCATGACTGTCCTTACTCCGAGACGACGGATGATGAACATCTTCAGGAAGCCCGACGACTCATGGACACACGCGCTTCGAAGTACACAAAAATCAAAAAATTTGGATCCCGGCTACAAAAAATCCTTGGAAATGATGAAATGGCGACTTTCAGTTCGCAGATTCTGGAAATTCCAATTGAGGCCTTCCAAAAGCAAATGGCATTAGACACGCCCTTCAAATGTTATAACGATCGGCAGAACATACTCCAGCTCGTGACCAATTTTTCAAAGTTGCCGACGTGTATGAGAAATCAGCTTCTTCGTCAAGCCAATCCTATCACAGCAAGGTAACAGAACATACAGTAACTCTCAAATTGTTTCGTTTTAGTTGCAAAGAAGCAAGCGGCTCAAGCTTGAAGGAAGTTTGGTTTGGAATGAAACGCTTCCCAAAACAAAAACGAATGGATACAGTGAATGAGGTTCTCAGCGCCGGCAGTGTTATCTATAAAAATTCTGAGGAGATGTTGATAAAGGCACTGGCGACAACCCCACATGAGTGACTGATTTTTCATTTCATATCATATAATTTTTCTATACCGTTTTATTCTAATAGAAGCTCACTCAAACAGTTAACTTAAAGGTCGATTATCTTTGTTCCTATGGGAGATGTCAAAAATTTGTGAACTGATGAAATATTAACAATATTACGATAAATAAGTTATCAGTTGACAGATTTTTGAATTCTCCCATAGAAATAGAGATAATTGATCTTAAAGTAGACGGTTCAAAGGGGCTTCTATTAAATGAAATACAGTATTTCTTCATTGTGACTTCATACCCCGCCAGACACCACTTATCCCATTTTGTATATTTTTTGCTCACTTCATCTCTTCTTCGTCTACTTCTTTCCTAACTGTCCCTTTGAGTGAAAATTCTCTAACTGTCCCTCTGAGTATTAATCTCTTAGTTTACCCGTTCACATTCCTATCACAAACTCACGACTTCAAGTTTTATATCAATATCGTCGAACTCCCACTGCTTATATCCTCAATCCCAACATATACCACATCTACTTTTTGTATTTCTGCAATTTGTATGTTCATGCATATCTGAACACATACTACTAATTACCCAACTGCCAAAATCCACGATATCTTCTTTTGATTTTTCTGAAATTTGCATTTCTCGGCTTTAGTTGAAATTTCAACCAGTCACATGCAACGTCTGTTGTAAGGAATGAACTCCAAAAAAAAAAACAAAGAAAACCTCAATTTTTCTTTTTAAATATATTTTTTACCGGTTCAGAAATGAAGAAAAACTGCATTTTTGAAGGAAAACGGTCTTTCCACAAAGATATAGAGTTAAATCTCAAAAAGTCCCAATCCAATCGCTCATTTCTCGCAAGTTTGCCTGTTGGCCTGTTCACAAAAGAGGCTTGCATATATTCCATCAAATATTTTCGTGGCGAGACCCACGACCCTCCGAGACATATGTTCAGGACAGATGAAGAAAAGGCTGTATGACTCAATTCATTTTTTTATTTTCATTTTCAGTTGAGTCTTTTTTGCATTGTTCACTGTTTTCGATTACTCCATTGACAGATATTTGACAAAATCAACATGGAACAAGGATGGGCGTGGTGTGGGGAGGAATTCCTGGACCCTGGCGTGGGAGATCTCGTAATAAATCAGCCTCAATACCTAAATCAGGTGTGTTCTCAAAACAAGTGTTTCAATGTATTAAATAAATGTTTAGCAGGGACCTACAACTGCCAATGTGGAAACAGTACCACAATAGGTTACCGACACTTTCGGATTTTCAAATCACGTGGAGCTTAGTTCAACAAGAGATATCGCCAATCTGTCGAATTCTCAACCTGCCCGAGGATTTCCGTTATTCGATGAATGGAGTCCCAATTATTACAATGCAAGTGGACATGACCTCACAAACCCTGAAATACAGAAATCAGCTCTTCAAAACACAGGAGATACTCAACATCAGAACTATGAAGGTTTGTGGAATAGTGTATCGGGTCCAGTGGGTTATTCAGAATTTCAGAATTATTTGAATATTATTTCAAAATTTTAGTTCTGTTACATACGAGAAGAAAATTACCAGAAATATATAGTACCGGCCCACCATATACGTGCACATGTTATTTGAAAAAAGACAAATTAGAAAAGTTTGTATTTCTTTTGTAGGATGCCAGCCAAAGTTGACAATTTTCCACTGAAATAAAGTTATATTGTGAACACTCTATTAGAAAGCCACTCAAGTCGCCAGCTTTGAAATAAATTATCTTGGTTCCTGGGAGAGGTATTAAAAAGAGGTCAACTAACAAAATGATTTTGATAGTATGATAAACATTTCATATATTGACTACTTCTCGATATCTTTCACATGAAATGAAATACATAATTGGGCTTGAAATTAGAGGTTTGGATGATATTCTTTCAGAATGTTTACGGTACGTTTTTGTTCGGGAGATTCGAACATCTGCGTGTGACATGCGGTAAAATAAGACAGAAGCGCCGTTCACATTTCTAATAAGCAAATGTTTAATAGTTTCAAATTTAGGTAATGTTCCTTTCACTCAAGGATTTGGGAACTCGTATCTCACCGATTTCAATCCAACTATCTTCCTGGAGTCAGTGGCCCAAGAATCTATAGGTTCTCAAAACGGGAATTCACCTCAAGAAGGTTTGTGATACACCTATATGCTTCTGGTTTTGCTCTACGTAAAAGCCCACCCGATACTTTCAATCAAACATCTATTTTTGAAAATTATCAACAACTTTCCTTTGACATATTGCCTACCATATTATCCCCCATATTTTATCAATTGACAGATTTATTTTTCTCATAGGAACCAAAATAATTAAGCCCAAAGTGCACGTTTAGATTTAGCTTGTATTAGAGAAAATATAGTAAACAACAACAAAAACCGTTTTCAGGGATTTCTGGTTCGAATCAAACAATTACTGCTCCAGAACTAACCTCAACGAAAAAACGGGTCCCAAGCCAGTTATCAACCAAACCGAAATCACCAGAAGAAGCCAAGGACATTTTGGATACACCGATTACAGCCACTGACATCAGTACTTCTTGGATTATAGAAAAAACAACGTTATGGCTGCAAAAAACGAAGACCACAAAACAGCTGTTTTGTAAAAATATTTTGGACTGCGGCATCAAAACGTTTCGCAAATTTACCTCTCTTCAACAAAGCTGGGAAGAGATTGATACAGAAAAATGCAAAAAAATTTGCGTTAGAATGTACAATTTCATACTGATCCCCGACAGTATCAAGCATGTTTATTTGAAAATGAATTTGCACAATGCGATGTAGGTGTCAGGATCCAGATAAGCTCTATTTTATATGTTTCAGAAAACAAAAGAAAACAGTGAATAGAACAGCTTCGAGTTGGGTTGTGCCAATTCAACAAAATTATCGTGTTTCTTATGAGGTAAGAAGACACTTATCGTAAATTTTCTAATAGAAGCTCACGTACACTTCGAGGTCCATTATCTCGTTTCCGTTAAGATATATCAAAAATGTTTCAACTGATTAAATATAATTGATCTCACGATACATTTATGACTTAACAGGTTTTCAATATTTATCGTACAACCAAAGATAATTGAGCTTAAAACGCACTTGTAAAGTATCCTTCTATTAGTGCGAATACAGTAATTTCATATAACGCAAAATTTGTATTTAAGGAAATCAACAAATCAACAGCCCGTGATTTACATTTTATAAAAATGAGGGAGCTACGTAACAAGCTTGATGAGTATGAAAAATTGATTGCGACCAATCCCAAATCGTTGGAGGACGTGCAAAAAATGCTTAATGCCACCATTCCTTATACGAATCTTATTGATACTGCGAGTGACCGAATGGAAATCATAACTTGGCAACAGAGCACCAATTGTGAAATGGTTTACTCGGTAGACCGAAATTATTGGTTGTCCCAAGGATTATCTTGAGCATGCCACAATAGAAGTTCCACCGTTTTCCGAAATGAACGCCAAGAGTCAGCAAATTCATACTAGAATGCACAATTGGCTGCTATTCACGGAGGAAATAAAATCGAGAATTTTAAATTTTACCGCACTAGGAATCAGGTGGAGACTATTGACCTCCCGGTTATTATGGATGACCTCAGTATTTTTTCCAGCCAAGAGCAAGGAGACTATCACAAGAACAAAACTGCAAGCAACTCCAATAATGACTAGATGGTAGCTGAATGACGTTGTTATGGTCACAAGCCAAATTATCACGAATGGTCCTCAAAATACTGTAAATAAATGTGTAAACAATATTTAATAATATGTAGATTCTCCCAATTGATTCATCCTATACATATAAAAACAATTATGAAAAAAACATATGAAAGAAGTAGTACAAAGAAAAGATGTATTGGAGAAGAAGTTGTGACCAGGCACTTGAAAAATTAAACCCAAATATACAGAAGGCCAGGGATGGAAGGTGACAAAGTCAAGAAAATATACAGTTTTGCTTCAAAAGCAACGGAAATACAGTAAGAAAAGGCGTATTGACATGGTAGTGATGTGGCTCTCGAGATGTTTAGAAGAAGAGACGAGCGCGATTGTCGTTCCAGTTGAAATAGGATTGTGGACGAACAGTGAAAGTGTACTGTAATTTTTGAATCTTGTTTTAAACTCGTATTTCAGCATTCCTAACATTTTCAAAATTTGAATTCAAACATTGATAAACCGCTTGTTAGGTTGAATTTCAGTGTATTGTTCTGAAATTTAGGCAACTTTGAGCTCAATTATCTCCCATCAGTTCCCATTAGTGATATCAGAAAACAGTTAGCACATGAAATATTGGTGATAATATGGTGAATATTTTGGCAGTAGACAAATTTCTGACACCTTTTACAGAAATCGAGATAATTGAGCTTACGTTTGTTAGAGCGAATACGGTAATAAACTTTCCTTGAAATAAAGAACTCTATTGTTGCACTTTGGAATAAATTTTTTCGGTTACTGTTAGAGAGATAAAACATTTGTCGACTGAGAAATCGTTATCCTAGTTTTACCGATATTTCATCAATTGGCAATTTCTCGCCATTTTTCATGGAAACTGAGATAATGAAGCTTAAAAGGCATGTTAAGAATTGTCAAGCAAAATACAGTATTTCAATTTTTTAGTTCTACAAAAGATGAACGTTTAAATGTGTTTTGTTTTAAATTTTCCCAATATTTCGAAAAACTTACTGGTCTGAAGAAGATGATTCTCTCGCCAATGTAAATCCGAGACTCCTTATCCGGAAGAATCGCGACCGCCTTATCAACAGCAGCCACGTCACCATAGCGAGCAATCTTTTGGAAGACTGGATCAATGTCAGCCGAACTGAAATAACACTCGTTCGATGTTTGTGGACAACGACTATCAACTGACGCGTACGACTGAGCACGGAGTAGGTAGCAGAGTTGAATCAGCATCTCCGTATCGTAGATCTCATGCTTGAAGTCTTCTGAAAGCATATTTATTGGTCTATTTCAGATGGCTAAAGTGCTCACCGCTCTTGAAGTACTTCTTAATCTCTTGCTTCACCCATGGAACCATGAAACGGTCGGAGAAGTAGGCGAGCGCTGTGATGTTTTGTTCTGAAAAAGTTGAATGTTAATTTACGAACTGTGAAAGACATAAACTACAAAACGGGGTGAACTTACGATTGATAGTGCGGTCAAACTCGAAGCCTTCCGGGCATGCGTATGACAGAAAGATGACAAGTTCCTCGGTGAAAACGTCATCCAATATCACTTTTTCAGATGTCTTCTCGGTGTAGGATCCGGTTCGGAGGCTGAAAATTAAAAGTGTGTTCTAAAAATTTTTTAGAAATCGCTGGCCAGTTCATCCGAGTTATATCAAACTTAGTACCAAAAACCCCGATTTGAGTGCACAAATAGTAATTTTCAAACACGATTTTATTATTCGTTTCTAGGTTTTTTAAAAATTGAACTTTGTTGTTTTATACTTAGCGTGTTCTAAAATTTAATATTTCAGATTTTTTTTTAAACTTTCGTTTGTCAACTTCGAAGAAAAATTTGAAAATTTGAAATAAACTTTTTTTGAGAAAATCTAAAACATATGAAATTTCATTCAAACTATTCTAAACCTTTTCTGAAATTTTTATCAAAACCTGGGTTTGTAAGGTATTGAGGTTACCTTGTAAATCTTACTGGAACCTAGCCGAAACAATAATTTGCGAAAAAAAAAACTCACATATGAAAGTATTCCGAGATTTCAGCCAAATAATTGAGGTTGACGAAAATTGTGTCCGTTTGCGTGTTGATTTGGAATGTTCGGAGATCTGTCGTTGTGCGGAACAAGTTGATTTTGCTTTGGAGAGCATCTGAGATTGGTTGAGTTTGGATGTCGCCCGTCATTCTTCACTGAAATGAAATTAAATTTATTGGTGTGGAATGAAAAAGAAAATTAGAAAGATTATAGTAGAAGAGCTACTGTAATTTTTAAAATAAAAACCCACACAAAATCGTCAATTTCGAGCCCAATTATCTCGATTGCTGTAAACGGTATCAAAAATCGGTCAACTGAACAATTATTTATCATAATATCACCATTATTTTATCCGTTGGCAAAATTTTGATCTCTGTCATATTAATAGAGATAATTGAGATTAAATTGAGGGTTCGGGTGGGCTCGGATTCAAAGTACATACGGTAGATCGTGTAAAGAAAAACTGACACTTTGAAGCAAAAGAAAACAATGATCGAAGACAAAAAACCTGAATTAGTCTAAAAAATATCTGAGGAATCAGGAAGAGAGAAGAGCAACTTCCGAATTTTCAAAAAGTGTAAAGTCGCCACCACTAACATCTCCTCCTTGCGAGACGAAAAAACAACTTATCACATGAATTTCTTGTGTTGCTATTTTGGCGGGTCATTTCTTTCTCTCTCTATCTCTCTCAAACAGGAGGGAAACCCACATTACAACTGGTTCTATTTGTCACCTTGATAAGGATTGAGAACAAAGAAGACAAACAAATAACAAATATCGTCATATTTGGCTAAGGTTCAAACCATTGTAACCATCTACCAGAAACCTCAGATCGAAAAATGAGCCGAACATTAACTAAAAAAAAGAGACCTCATTTTTCCAATGTGCTCTCAAAATTCTTCCTCTTCTTTATATACCCCTATCATCACGTTCAGTAAACGACGTTTCAACGCCAGTCGTCCAAAACGCAGACAGCTAGACAAAATCACTGGAGAAATATGCTGCAATACCTACCGCCCGCACACTACAAATTGAATTTATAGCATTTTTAGAAAAGATAACATCTCTGGAGGTCGAAAAAAAACAAGTTGAAATTTAAAATGAAAAACAACGTCGGGCGCTAAGACCACCAACGAACATTTTAGAAGAAAAGGTATTTTTTTCCAAAAAAAAATTTAATAGACCTCTGACACTATAGTAAACAAGACAACTAATGTAGAACAATGCCAGACAGCTGTGACAAATTATGACAGTAATTTTTTGAATGAATGATTATCTTCGAGAACAAGAAAAGAAACTAGATTTTGTGTCAAGGGTCGAGGAAAAGATTTCATATCTTGTGATAAAGAGGGAAAACCAGATGGTAAGCTAAGACCGTTTCGTGTAAATATTGGGTTAGAGGTTGGAAAAAATTACTGGTTCAAAGGTGGAACGACCCGGAGAAGAGGTGAGAGTAAACACTACAAGGATTTGGGACACGTCATCGCTGAACTGTGCAAGGCCAAATGAAGAAAACTTAATTTTTGCGAGAAAAAAAACTCTCGTAAAATTAGGTTCTTTTTTTTTTCCTAACAGAAATCATATTTGAACTAAAAAAAGAAAGTTCCGACCAGGTTATCGTATTCCTTTTAATGAAATCCCACGTAAACCACCAAATTTAAGCTAAATTATTTCGGTTTCTATGAGAAATATCAAAAATCTGTCAACTATTGAAGTATTGCTGATATTATGATAAAAGTTTTCTCAGTTGACACATTTTTGATAACTTGCACAGAAACGGAGATAATTGAGGTTAAAGTTGACGGTTCAAATGGAATTCTATTAGAAGGACTACAGTACATGCTATTTTTCAGACTACCAAAATTGATATCTACTAAGCTAGGTGCTTTTTCAGTCTTATATTCTTTCCTTGGGTCCATATTCCGTTTAAAACAACATTAGAAAAGGGTTTTCTATAATTTCACTTATTAAATCCACAAACAACTACTTTTTAGCCTGTTTTTTATGATTGATTGTCTATTTTCGACGAAACTCTATCTTACATGATAAGTGCTGAGCAGTCTGTGTACCCACATTAAGGAAACACAAACTTTCCGATTGATTTTGCGCTTTATAGCTATCGCAAAGCTCGACAGTTAACAAAACATTAGCCCGTTCTGCCTTTACATCTCATATTCCTACGCTAATTTCCATATATTAGGTTGAACCGAAAGTTTCTTTCCTTTTCGACAACATTTTTGATCAAATTTTTCTCGAAGCAGAGGGGGATAGATCAATGAAAGTAACGTCCATGAGCATTGACAATTGTCTGGCAACGCTCCAATAATTTCTTGCTTCCCTCGTCTTAGAACGACGAGGACTGCGATTGAAAAAGTGGGCCAACTCCTTTTTTGTGTCATCTTTTCAATTGAAGTCATTTCTATCAAGATGACGTCTAAGAGCCCCAAACAACTATTTATTCGAAAGGGCATGAGCCGCAAAATACGCGAGTGCAAAAGAAGAGTTGAGCCAAACGATATGAATTTTTGGCTGGTCCCTCTAGTCACTGGCGATCTCGCATTGTCGCGCAGGAAGCGGACTTTGGTTTTTCTCCTAGTTTTGATTCGACTGTCAAGTTCAATTTCTCTAATTAAGAACTCTATAGGGCGGCAATTCTAGTGGTACTTTCATATAAAAGTTCCCAGTTTCCATTTCTTTGAAAAAACCATCAAATTCATAGCATCCCCCTTTTCACGTAAAATTTAGATTGCGGGATGCCCAGAGCTAGCTGTTCTTTTCCAATCAAGTCACCCTCCCGCACGTTGTTAGAGTAACTTACCCACTTCTCATCTACAATAATTAGATCCCCCACCCAACTGAACGTGTGAAGAAATGATAGCATGTCCACATGGAAAACCATATCGTAGTCCTTCAAAGCATAGGATACGAATCGACCCAGTTCTTGAAGTTTCCAAGATACTTCAATCCGTTTACAATACTTGGCTGACTAACGGATAATGCCTTCGACATTTTACGAGTGGTTTGAAATGGATCCGCCTTCCCGACCTTTAGCAATTGATCGAGATCCAGCTCACTGGGCCGTTGGCATCTTTCAATCGGATATCCCCTGTGCAAAATTTTTTGAACAAAAAGCAAATTGTAGGCGATGGCCGAACATGTCCCTTATATACATTCACCAAATGCTTGTGAATACCGGGTATTTCAAGACCAAATAAAAATATAATCATGTCTGGTGTGTGCAGTCGGGTAAGGCCCGAAAGAATAGTCTCCAACACGAAGTGAGATAAAAATTTGAAAATCTGCGATCTAATAGACACTGAACACAGCGCTCTAACAAAAAAAATTCTGGTCAACCTAATATCTACGCTAATTTCCATATATCTACGCCAATTCCCATATGTTTACGCTAATTCACTAATTTACGTGCTAATAGATCTAAAAGCAACTCAAAATAGAATGAACATCTTTGGCCTCTTTCGTTATCGCAATGAGAGAACGTTTGACCAAAAAAAACATGTTCTCGAGGTGGACAATTTGTACTGCAAACAATAGAACAAGATTGAAAACTAGTAAAAGATGTTTGTGTTGGCGGAAAAAGGACCATTTTGAATGAAGGAAGGGGAAGAAAAATGGGAGAAAAGGGGGAGAAGGAAAAAGAATGAAGGGCAAAAGAACTCGAAGGAACGATTATGCAAAACAATGAGGGCGAGAGAGAGGGAGACGCAGACACAACTGACTGTTGTGTTGTTCTACGTGGTCCGTTATTGATCGGTTTCCCAGGAAGAACCCACAGGTGACCTCTCTACGTTGTACCGTTTGGGTAGAATAAGATCTCTTTAAAGGGCCAGAAAACGGTTCACGGGAAAAAAATCCCTTGGAAATTTTGAAAAAAATTCAACTTCACAGTCATGTGAGCCAATGATGTGTAAGAAAAAAAATAAAAGAAGAGTTTATGACTATTTTTCTATGAACACAAAATAAGCTTCAAAGATAAGAGAAAAAAAATGTGATTGGTTGTTTACTACTCCATTAAGTGTCAGTTTCCGTCTGGCTCGCAGTTCAAACTTTGGCGCTCATATTCAATTTTTGTGCAGAAAATTAAGTTTTAATTCAAAAAAATTGATAAGGACAGAAAGCAAAGCAATACTTTTTGGTACAAACAATTAGTCATTATTTCATAAAAATACCTGAAGTCTTTGGACTAGTTGAAAAAATTCTGAGAAAGAAAAAAGTTGTTGTTGACAAATTAAATATCAATAAGACATGGTATCAATGAGAAGGCAGAAAACAATCAAGGAACAACATATGGTCGGTGTAATAGGAAAAAGATTATCAAGTTGTTTTCAACTTCTTCTCACTCTGTTCCATTTTCAATTTTTCTGCTTCTTCCATTTTCATCTCCAAGTGACGGGCATAGACGTAAGCGGATGATCCGAAAAGAATGACAATGTTGCTGACCCACCTGAAAATTCATGGTCTTCATATGTCCCAGTTTTTTTCAATTTGATGAATAATTTCCGGGTGGTTTACTACTACAAAACTGTCCAAAAGTGTGCTACCGTATTAGCTCTAATAGAAGTTTAACCTCTCGGCTGGGACTGTCGTCTTTTGGGAGCTGGCTGACCAGATTTCGCTAGGGATTTTCCCAGAAGGTGCCCAAACAGCGTTCAAAAGGTGGCAAAAGCAAGAGCAAAAGCTGACTGGTTTCATCTTAGGTTCGCCTAACAGGTTCTACCTTCGCTTGCGGTGCGCCTAAAATTATTTTTTTTTCGTCCAAAAAGCGCCGAAGCTTGCTTAAAAGGTGGCGGCGCTCTAATTTTGCCCAAAAGGCGCACATGTTCGCCCGAAAGACGGCAATACCTCTCTAATTTCACCCAGAAGACGACAGTCACATCTGCACTATACATGTACTCAGAGCTCTATTATCTCGATTTTTAAAAAATGTCAGTAATCTGCCAAGATTAAGCTTTCTGATATTATGATAATCAATTTATCAGATTAGATGACGACTTATTGATATCCTTCACAGAAAATAAAGAGTGAGCTTGAAATGAAAGGTTTGGTTTTTTTAATTCCAACAGAGATTTTACTGTGCTTCTACCTAGCTCCTGCTGGTATTCGCCAAGTTTAGATGCCTGTATAACATAGTAGATTTCGTTGGATGAGACTGAAAATTTCAGAATAAACTTAACTAAAATAGAGCTTTAATTTTGTAGTTCACTACTTTTTAGTACGAAATCGTTCAAATGAGTTATACTGCTTTAACCTAACCAACTTCCAAAACTTTTATAAACCAAACTAATTTCAGAATCGTGACACTTTCAAGCGGTTCGTCTGGATCAATATGTAAAAAAAGTTGTCAACTACAAAATTGGAGCTCTATTTTTGTTCTATATACTCCAAAATTTTCAGACATATCGAAAAATTCGGAACTACTTTTGTAGGATTCCTAAGTTGACTGTTTTCTTTAACCGCCTATATTTATTAGACATACAACGTTGAATATATTTGAACTAAAAAACAGGTATAATCTTTGAAAATTTCGGAGGGTACTGTATTTTTCATACCATGTAAATGGTTTCCATTCTCGATTGATGATGACGGCAAGAAGAGTTTGAGTAGCTGACTTAGCAGTGGCCGAGATGTTATGAGTAAGTGGAGAAGTAGCCTGAAATTAGAATCGTTCCAGACTGGTCCAAAAAAGTCAAAGATCGGGAGTTTCAAACAATGAGTATACTTTTTTATTAAATAGGTCGTCAGGAATTAACCCAGACGCTGAAAAATTTCAGGCTGCTAGACTGACACATGTTGAACGAATTCTATAATAGTTCTAATCGAATTGTTTGTGTTTCTTCTTGGCCTAGACCACCAAAAAAACGGAGAAGCATACTTGTAACGGGCCGGGCCGGGCTTTTTCCGGAATTTCGGAGGCCCGGGCCCGTCATTTCACTAGTTTCAAAATTTAAAAAAAAACACATAAGGGGGTTTGAAAAACAGATAAGGGGGTTCACCCTTATGTGATTTTTTTCGACCAAAAAATTTTTTCGAGTTTTTCGATCTTTTTTGATCAGAGAGACAAACAATCCGAAATACAAAAAAAAATGGAAAAAATTATATTGAGAGCTCAAAATTTGGCTCAAAAATACAGAATTTTTGACACCGGGCCTTTCGGGCCGGGCCAGGGCCCGGGCCCGGGCCGGCCCGGAATTTTACAAGTATGCGGAGAAGTCTTGTTCCTTGCTATCTCACCTCAATCTGCCAAACTGTCACGTAGTTCATTGTGAACCCGAAGAGACCAGAGATGAATAACAATTGCCAGAAGAATTGTTCAGGTGGATTAGCTTTTACCCTATCTACGTCACCGTTAAGCCACATAAGAGGAAGGAAGAGCACCACTGCAACAACATTGTTATACCAAGTCAACTTCCAGAGACAATTTCCGACTTGTGGTAGGACTCTAAAAATAATTGGAATCATTGGAAACCCTAGAAACCTTTTGGATCTACTTACTTCTTTGTAAAAATTGCATTTAAAGCCAATGATATCGACGCGAACAATCCGTAAAATGCTCCTTGCATGGACAATGAATTCTCCTTGGAAGCGGGCTGAGAACCAATTGAGAATCCAATTATCAGGATCAAACAACACACGTATACAGCTTGGCTTGATTCAATCCCAAGTACCCAGGTGGAGAGCATCTAAAAATCAGAAATTCCTGCGATTTCTTAACTTTTCGTCATTTGTCTTACCACATTGAATACTGTAGATGTGGATCTTCCAATATAGTAAAACGAGACTCCATTGTTCCGAAGACAGAGGTTGTTGAAGGAGATCATTGCCACGAAGAAAATGGATAATGGGAGAACCTGTATCAATTATTTGTCCTCCATTTTTCTCGATTTAGTTTTTACAGCTAGTAACGCTTTTGGACTCAAATTCAGCGTTGGAAACCGTGGAAAAATTCTGGAAACCTTAGATCCCAAACTGAGCAAAATGCACACAAGAACAGTGGTCAAGCATTGGCACCAGGTGATAAACAGTGGGATATTCAGCTGAAAATATGTGTCCCTTTTCTATTTTTCCATTCCATTTGATACTAACCCTGGCACCAGTACCCGAGAGTAGATGTTTGTTGAGAAAAACCAACCCTATTGAGCAGACCCTAAAAATATTAAATTTGCACCTGCGTTCGGTACCAGGGAGTTTTTTTACCAGTAGGATGCGATGGAAGGGGCGACGCTCTTCCATCTGCCACCATCGTTGGCAGGTGTCATCTAATGTTCACTGAAAAAAAAGTTTCATTAAATAGTGGGGGAGTAGGTGGGGAAGGAAAGTGGCAGATGATGAAATTATTAGAAAACAAATGAAAAAGGAAATTTAATTAAAGACAAAAAATGGGAAAGGATGTGAGAAGAGACCAGAAAACTGATCAGAGAGCGGTTTAGAAAGATGGGTCTTATTAGGAAATGTTCATAACCGAAAACATTATCAATCAAGCTTTTTCTCCACGTTTTTCACACAGATTCCAACTTTTCGAATAATAGACAATGACTTTGATAAATTGGTGATAATAAATGGGCTGATGAATACGCCGTAATAATTGATACTTTGAGAATTTGATAAAAGGGCAACTTTTTCAAACAAAAGAAATGAAAAAATTTCCAAATTTTAGTGTTAACAACTTACCTAAACTCTGTCAAGGTTGAGCTCCATTATATCGGTTCTTATTAAATATATCAAAAATTGTCAACTAATAAAATAGTAGTGATATTATGATGAATGATTTGTCAGTTGACAAATTTTTGATATCTCTTATAGAAATCAAGATAATTAAGCTCAAAGTTGACGGCTTGGGTGAACTAGAGGAAATACGGTATTTTAGTGTTCCGTTTCCTCTAATAGAAGCCTGCTCAACTTTGACCTAAATTATCTTGAGTCCTGTGAAAGATATAAAAAATATGGCAACTAATAAAATATTGTTGGTGTTATGAAAAATAACTTATCAGTTGAAACATTTTTGATATCTTTCTCAGAAATTGAAAAAGGTGACCCCAAAGTTGACGGCTTGGGTGGGATTCTACTAGAAGGAATACAATATTTTTTGAGGTTCCAGCTATTCAGTCCAGTCAAAAAAAAAACATGAATTTATTTGAAAAGCAACAAGACAGGAAACTGTTTTATTATGAGCCATAGGTATCACTAAAATCCAATTATCATGAGACTTGTGATAGAAGAGCCCCCACACTGTCAACTTTGAGCTAAATTAAATTAATTATATACACACAGAAAATTTGTCCATTGATAAAATAATTAGCATATCATGATGAATGATTCAGCAGTTGAAGAATGTTTGGTATTTCTTATAGAAACCGTTTCCGATTCAGTTCAAAGTGCAACCACAAGATGACATTTATTGCCGGTAATTCCTAATTTTATCAATTATCTTTATTTCTGTAAAAGATATACAAAATTTATCAACTGCAAAAATATTGGTGATATTATGATGAATAACTTGTCAGTTAACAATTTTTTGATATCATTTACAGGAATCCAGATAATTGAGCTCACAGTTCACGATTTGGACGCGCTTCTATTAAAGCAAACACTGTATTTTATCTTATTCACGATAAATTGGCTTCTTCATAGAAGAAAACCTAGATTCAAGCCAAGGAAAAGCACGAAAATGACGAAAATGCATTTTCTGGGAGCACGGTGCGCCTCCTAGTCGCGGCTCTCTATATGCTCTAATCCTCTGCGCTCGCGGCTCCCTTTCATGCTAGCTTAGAAGACGTCAACCTTTCATTTTGTTCTAATTTATTTTACCAAACGTTTTCCCCTTCAAATCCAGTTGGCTTTTTTAACGTTGAGAATTTATTGAAACAAGAACAGTGATTGCAAAAACAGGACTGTTTAAAACTGGGGGCGAGAGATTTGGAAGGGGTTTTGTGGTATTTAAGACGAAAAATGATAAAGGAATGAAAATATCTAAGGGAGAGACAAAACAGTGAATTCGGGGGAACCCATGTGAGCTTAGATGAAGAACATTTTGGAAAAAAAGAAGATCACCGTTACAAAAAATTGGAGGAATAGATGTGCTGAGAAAGGAGGCATAAAAGAAAGCTGAGGGAAGAAATGCAACATTAACTACAGAAAACTTCAGGGGGTCAAGAAACAGGGGGAAAGATTTTGTGTGATTGTTATTATGGATTGCCTCGTATGGAAAAGAGATAGGGGGAAGTAAGAAAGTTGAGAAACAAAAAGAAGAACAAGAAAAAAACACAGCATTGAAATGCAAACGCCATGGCTCATAAAAAGTGTTAGTAAATGGCCGCTTTTCCATTTTTCGGGACGAAGAAATAAGAGGACACATATACTGACTCAAAAAAAAAGAAAGAAGGGGAAACGAATAGAGAGATCCATGATGAATTGTATATCCATGCGAGAGAGAAGAGGGGAGTGTCGGTGTGGCTAAGTTTGGGAACAAGAAATCAAGAAAAAAGAGAGGAGGAGAGCGGCGGGAAACGGCATCAGTTCATAGAGTGACAGACAAAATTAGGGAGGGATGAATGGCGATTGAAGTCTCTGGTTGGAAGAGGAGGAAGCGTGTCCGAGACGTGGCGAGTTGCTGGCGATTGGTGGCGGTGGCTTGTATAATGGGTTCTCGTGCTGCGAGACCTGCAAAAAATATTTTGTCTTATCTAGTCTAGTCATCAGAAAGCAAAGAGAAAACACCGTATTTTCTCTATTATATGACTAGCCTATACGTGAACTTGGAGCCCAATTATCTCGGTTCCTGTGGTAGATATTGGATATCTGCCAATTGCTGAATTATTCATAATAGTACTGCCTATAATTTATCAATTGTCGCATTTTCGATATACTTTACAAGAACCGAGACAATTGGGATCAAAAACGCTAGCGTAAATGCTCTAATAGAAGCCGATTCAAGCCGTAAACTTTGAGGTCAATTATCTCGGTTCCTATGCTAGATATCAAATTTTTGTCAACTGATAAAATGTTTTTCATAATATAAACTATATTTTATTAGTTATCATATTTTTGATACCTTCCACAGAAATTGAGATATTTAAGCTCAAAGTTGACTGTTTGAGTAGGCTTTAATCAAAGAAGGTTGACGGTTTGGGTGGGTTTTCATTACACTACAGGGTTTTCTCTTCTGCTAATAGCCTTAGTATGAATTCCTTACCTTCAATGGCGGGCGCTCCTCACGAGCCAACATTGGAGTTCCAGCGTTGGTCGGGTCGTTCTCCTCAACCTCATCTGGGAAGACAACTGGAAGTCCCTTGGAGACGTACTCCGTGCTTGGAGACTTCTTTTTTCCGCTCTTCTTGATGCACGCGCAGTAGATGATGATGGCGACGGCGATGGCCAGAAGAAGGAATAGCAAGATGCAGATGAGAAGGAGCTGAGAGTCGGCTTCTTGCATGGATTGGATGGTTGGGGCTGTGGTGCTGATCTCGACAGTCTCATCGCAGTTTCCGTGACGAATCATTGTGGCACGACGGACGTAGAACTGATTTCCCATAGTCTTCACAAACTCGGTCTTGGTTCTCATTTTCTGTTTCATGATCATCTTGGAAGCCATCGCATCCAGAGCAACCTTATCACAGACCTTGTATGGAATGGAGTTGTTACTGAAAGCCACCATGGTCTTGTTGTTCTTGGATCCAATCTCCTGAATGGTGAAGGTGTTGATTGGAGCTTTGAGGGATCTGGCAAGGGCGCGCATCAACAAGTTTCTCTTGGCTGGGTTCGTTGCCATCTGCTGTGGAGTTGGCATGTCCATTTCGAGCTCGACGCGGTGGTTGGTTGGGAGAGCTGGCTTCACATTGATTTGGAATGGAGCAGAAGCGAGTTGTCCAGCTTTATCACGAGCCTCGAGACGATAGTTGAACTCTCCAGTGCGCATTGGGATTCCGATCAGTCCCTTGTTAGCCTCGTTGATCATCCAGACCTCGGCGTTGTCCAAAGCAAGCACAGTGAGCTTCATCTTGAAGGTGTCACCGTCCTCGGCATCTTTGAAGGTTTCAGCTGGCACGCGGAGTTCACAGATTTCTCCTCTGAAAATCACAATTCGGAATGAGTTTTTGAGTTTCTAGCTTTGATTGAATCTCAGTCTAGTCAAGCTTAACGATTTTTATGAATTAAAGTTGACTTGGATGAACTTGGATGTTCATTCAAGTCTACTATAAGCCGTTAAATCCCGTTAAAGTCATTAGCTTACATACAACGTACCTAGTGCATACAAACGATGGAAGTCGGTTCAGAAGAATTGGCTTGTTGTCATTAAATACTCTTCTGGTGGTACGGATCAACTCAGTGGTTGTACGAAGGTACTCGGTGGTGGTCTCATCCTCCTCGACAGGCTCTGGAGTTGGGGTTGGAGCGACTCCTTTCTTGAAGAATCCCTTAGCGAGCTTGAGAGAGTCGTAGTCGACATCCTCCCGATCGACAAATTCGTCCATGTAGTTGACAGCCTCGTCGAAATCCTCACAAGCCACTCTCCAGATAGCCATGTAATTTCCATTAACTGCTTCCTGACCGATTTCCTCGAGATTACGGTTGATCAAACTGAAGTTGTACGAGTAGACACGGACGGTCTTCACATTTGGATCCAATTCCAGCTCGTTCATAGCTAAAGCAGTCTCAATACGGTTGGCGAGAGTTGCTTCCTGCTCATGATAAGTCTCCATCCAGAAGGTGTTGTTTATGGTTCCACATGGGCTGATAACCTCCTCCTCGACATTCAGGTACAGGTAAGTGGGCTTGCGTCTCCTCGATGTGATCTATAAACTCAATGTTACAACAACATAGTGAATCCCCCACTCACGCGCTCCCCACAATTTCTCTCATCTATCAATTTGGCGGCTCGAAAAATTTGAGAAAAAATAGCTTGCTGCAGCTGCCTGGCCTTTGGAAGTTGTTTCAAACAATTTTTGTTGCTTTTACGATACCAGGCTACCCATTATTACCTGATTCATCACACCAAATGGACTATGGACTATCTACGTCTCCTACTACCAAATACTATCTCCTCCTTCTATTTCTACGTTTTCCCTTCCCGCCTTCTGACTCACCATAACAGTGTGCTTGCCAACATCGTTCTCGGTCGGGATACCAGTAAGAATCTGATCGCGGATCATAAGCCAAGAGGGAAGCGGGCGATTGTTTTTTCCAGATGCCACAGTGAAGTTGTCGCCGAGGTTGTGCTCGAAGAGCTCTCCGATGAAAACGCGAGTCGAGTCATTGGCAAATACCGTAGTCACCAGCAGCAGCCCCAAGACTATGAATGGGATACGCATTGTTTCTGAAAAAAAAACTTCTTTGTAGGGGTCAGGAAAGCTGAGAAGCGCTGAAGATCAAAAAATTTAGGCCTAAAATCCGTACGGTCCTCCTATCCTCCTATAGAGAAAAGGAGTGGGGGGAAGCAGAGGAGATGGAGAGAAAGTGGGTCGTGTGCTGCACGAGAAGAAGTGAACACCGGGGCGAGAAGAAGAAGAAGAAGGCGGGGAGAAGAAGGGACGACCCGGCCGGAGGGGCGGAGCCTAAATCGAAACCGTACGAAATAGTAAGTGTTTGATGGAGAGTGCAAGTGGTGCCTAACAGACACCTGGTATGTTTCTAAATTTCGATGATGAATTAATAGAAAAATTTCCCTTTTTCTTTGGGTCTTTTCTCTAAAGAGCTAAAGAAAAATCTGTTGGAGTAGATTGGAGGGAAGAAGACGATGGATAGTAGAGCAAAATGTCGAAAAAAAAACAAAAAAAAAGAGAGAAAAGATAAGAGAACTGAACTTTGTTTGCTTCGAAACTGTTGCCAGATGTTTCTGCAGGCTCTACCCATGCCCATCTTACATTTAGCATGAAGCAGAAAAAATCATCATGCTTCATTGGAACGAAAGTGGTGTAGCGGAAACAAGGGAACGACTGAAGAATCACATAGTAAAATTCCGTCAAGCGCGCCAAAAAGGACAAGAAGAACTGGCGGGAACAACTGGAGGGTCGATTTGAATATTCAAAACAGTAGAACAGAAAAAAAGAAGGAGAGAGGACTGGACCGATTATCCGAGTAGTGCGCATTTTTGATTTGTTGTGTTGCAACATCAGTCAGAGAAAAGCAGCAGAATAAACATTTTCGCAATAGGTGGTCAGTTGCGCAAAAAAATGCCGAAAAAAAGAGATGAGGGAACAGATAAGTCGTTGTTCACCTACAAAGAAGACAAATTAGAGCACTGGAGCAGCATTCGATGGGCAACTCAGATAACATGGGTGGTCTTTCGGCTAACTAATTATACCTCGCTTGCCACCTCATCGATCAAAGTTGAAAGTAATGAGGGAAAGAAGGGGTTTCTGTAGAGAAAAATGAATGGAAAGTCAAAAATGTTTAGTTTTAAGTTGATTTTCGGTCATTTTCAGGAGATCACTTTGAAAATTTTGGAGGGTCTAACACAGCAATAGATTGAATCTGTTGCGTTCACAGAATGTTTTGAAAATTCCTGGCTGTTCAGCTATTCATCTATTTCTGAAAGACACCTGTTATATTCAAGTTTTGGTGCAAAATAGGCCAAAATGGTGTTTCAGGTTTTTTTTAACGGTAACATGAAAAATAGGTGTCTTTCAGAAATTGGAAAATAGCTTAAAATGTGAGAATGTTGAAAAAATTCTGTGAATGCAAGTTTTCTTATCTAGGTCTGATTCACACTCTTCAAAATTTTCAAAGTGATCGGAACCTCAAAAGCCGAGCGCTCAGTTTCTGAAAATGACAAAAATTAACTAAAAATTGGTTTTCGTATATCTAGTTGACCGGTATTTTATATCAAATGCTCATTTAGCTTAAACCTTCTGGATTAGATATTTGTCTAGTCTAAAAGATCTAATCAGAGAAATCGGATCTGCAATTGACCTTTTGATCTATATAACTTCCAGACTTCTGCTCACTTGTAACCCAATACTCGTTATCGGCATTGATCTTTAATAATCTAGAATAATTGTTTTCCGATCGAGCCATAATTTACGATGTGCTATCTCGAGTCAGCAGAAAATTTACAAGCCCCTCTCTTTCTCGCACCTTCTGGTGCACGGCACGATCAAAAAAGAGACACCCTAAAAGCAACATGTGCGGACCTGTCAACTCATCTCTTAACAGATGGACTCGTGTCGGCATAATTGAGTCCGCGAAAAAGCTACTGCCGGGAGGATGCCGCCGGTTTACGATCCGTTTTGGCTTCTGGTTTTATAATATAAACATACTCGCTGGATAGGTTTGGTGGATAATAAGAGGAGTATGGAGACGAGAATAAGGACTGCCAGAATGCTGATGCGAGGTGACAGTTCAATTTTTTGAAAATGCTGGCCTTGTAAATCGTGAGAAGCCGTGTATATGGTAGATTCAAAAAATCAAAGGATCTTACTTGAATAAATACAGTACCAAACAATTTATTATGCAGATTGAACAATTTATTATCTAGATACGCAGAAATGCTTTTTCTGAAGAATTTCGGTCATTTTTGAACATCTTCCGTAGTCCAAAGCTCGTGTGTCACGTTTCCGATCAGTTTGAAAATTTTTGAAAATGAAAAATATACCTATGTAGATTGATACCTTTGCATTCACAGAATTTTTGAAAAAATCTAGTTTTTCAGATATTTGTTGATTTCTGAAAGAAACCTGTTTCTCACGTTTTTAATACGAAAAACGGGACAAAAAGGGTTTTTTTCAGAAATGGGTAAGAAGCTTAAAAACTAGGAACTTTTGAAAAATTCTGATAATGTAAGGTCTTCAATCTTTATCTGTTTTACATTCTCCACAAATTTCAAAATGATCGTAAACTTGGCTGCCGAGCTCCAGAATGGGGAAAATTTCTAAAAAAAGAGTGCTGTATATCTCATTTACCGGTACTGGTCATACTGTATCGCAAATATCACAGATCACCATAATCACTCTTTTTCCAATTAATCAAAATGTGAAATTTCTGATAGCGAAATGCCAAAAAATGGAGAGACAATGGGAGATAAAACTGTCTTCGAAACGATGCGAATGAACTTTAAAACTCCGTCGAGAATGGGGTAAAATAATTGGGTAAAATATGGAGTATAAAAGATAATTATACGGTAATTACAATAGTCCTATACGAGCATAATTAGACTTTACTCAAGATTCCAAGGTAGGTAGAAGGTGTGCGCTTCTCTTTTGACAAGGAAATACAGGAAATGGCAACCGTTCTCGAGAGAAGAGAGGATCGCATAATTGTCGACCCGCCCCGACATTGTCGAGAAAACGGTAATCCTGGGAATCTATATGACATACGGAAGGGATAAAAGAGATTGAAGACGTTAGGGAAGGTGGTGGTGGGAGGAGGTGACACACGAAAAAGGAGAACAGAAGGCACTGGTGGGGGGAAGAGGCAGGTGTACATTTGACTGACATGAGTGGCTCCGACCTGTGACTGACTTCTTCTTTTTCTTTCCCGTTTTTCTGCCCAAATTTGACCCCAAATTGGGACCCATTTTTGGGTCTTTTTTTTTGACGTATCCAAAATGACACGAAACGTTTTGAAAATGAATCGTCTCGGTTCATTGTTCGGACACCTTGGGCGCGAAATTGGCTGGATTAGCAAGAAGGGAAACATATTGAAGAAAGCGAACGTGCTAATTAGATGAACGATGAGGTTAGAAGAAGAGGGGACATTAGGGGGCCCTCATGGATTACCTGGCTTAGCGTTTCAGTTAATGAGGGAATGAATCGTACAGAACTGCAAGAAGAAAACGGTGCTTGGGCACCGGGAGAGACAGAAAAAATGACTAAAGATTCTATTGTTCTAGAAGCTAGTAGTAGTTGTACATGTATTGTCCCAATATTTTTGTTATTAGTCACATGATGGGAGGAGAAATTACGAATATTTTGAAACGCTGAAATATGAGTCATTGGCACGGACGGAAAAAAAACGGTATAGCTTCTATTTTCAAATTTTTTGGGGACTTTTGGGATTTGCAGACTTTCCCAGGGGCAAAAAAAATCGAGAGAAAAAACTATCAAAACATTTCTGTATGTACTTTGAGCTTCAGAAAGCTGGAGATCAAACCATCACCCCTAGAAGAATTCCATAAAGCAGATCGTAAACCAATCCTAATGAATACAGATCCTGCTTATGTAATCAATCCGTATTATGCAACACTTTTTGATGACGATGGGTTGGATGCCCCTGAATGGCACATGGTTCAGCTGCAGAAGCAGATGCTTGTAACGACATAAAGAAAAAGGCAACGGGGACACGATTCCATCACATATCATCAATTTGAGGAAAAGAAGAAGGAGTCAAGAAGGAGATGGACAACAAGATGGACAACAATCAGATTTCGTTGGAAGGATGGACGTAAAATCGAGTAAAAAATGCAGAAGCAAAATACCCAAAAGTGGCGAGCAGCACAAAAAAAGATGAGTTGGCGGAGAGGGGTCAAGCGAGCCGACCGAGCCTTGTTGGTCAAACATATGAAAGTGAGAGGAGGAAGAGCAAATGGACCATCTATGGGGTTGGTCGGCTCTCTGGCCTCCTAAAGTTGCGTCACCCGCGTACCTGTGGCCAGGTGGAGATGGTTAGATAAGCAGAACAATGACTGTGGGGTCTCTCATAGAGTCGGAGTAGAAGAAACAATTACAATTCGCTTCAATTTTAGACAACGCATGGTACCAGGGCAGGATAAAAGAGACGGATGACAAGTGCTAATAAGAAATGGACATACGATACGGTTGGGGCCTATGCAACATGCCTAATAAAGCGAAGGAGACGGAGGCCAATATTCAATCTGCATAATAAATAAGCGATCGCCGTACAAACAAAGACGACGCTTCCTTTCCCTTCCCGTCCCTATGGACCGGGATGAGCCGACAGATACAAGCACGCCGACGATGTTGCTCCCACGGGAAACCTTCGTCTTCTTTCTCTCGCTTCCAATGAATTTTGCATATAAATAGAAGAGGTCCGTATGGAAGGAATCTTATCTATCATCAGTGGACGACTGGGCAATGTTGACACCTTATTAGGAAAATACGAACAAAAGGAAAACTGAGGCACTTGAGTGAGTACTAGTACAAAGAGGAATATAAGCCAACTTGGCATGATTGACATGGGACATTTTGGAAAATGAGAAAATTAGAAACAAATTTACCGTATTTGCCTTAATAACAGCTTTTTGATATCTTTTACGGAAAATGACTTGAAACCAACTTTCAGCTTAATTATCTTGATTTTTGTGAAGTATATCACAAATCGGTCAAATTGAGCTTAAAGTTATATATAATGTGGTATTCTACTACACCAAACACGGTATTTCAACGGAAGGGAAAAACACAAAAATCGGAAGTTTGTCAGAAGCATAAAAATGTTATTTTCCCGCCAAATTTTAATAGGTTCTAGAGTAATAAAAATAGTTTCCTGCTGATAGACGCAGCTGATAGAAATCAATGATTCATCTTTTTTTTTCCAAAATAGAACTGTTACAGATGTACGAAAAAGTGAACGTCATTTTTTTCAAAACCATCACTTTTTTAGAGAATAGTTATAAGGCTTGAACGTATACACTTCTATGAGTCGTCAAAACATCGTCGTACACCTTTGAAGTGTTGTCGCTTGTGGAACATGACGAGGTTTTGCTTTTTTTGGATTTGTGCCAAGGAAAATATAAACGAAAAAGAAGATGTTATGATGTTTACACAAGAGTTTGCGTTTTTCGAAAAAGTGAAAAATTGAAAAACAAGTTCTGGTACCGGCCAGCACAAATTGGATTTTCTGGACAACAGAATCATTAACATTATTGCTCATGGAAAAATGGAATTTCAACGTAAACAAGTGGAGGGATACTGTATTCGAATTTATATTGAAGGGAGAAGGTATCTGATTTTGGATAATAAGGGGACCTTGTAAAACCAGGTTTTATTGAAAATTTCAGGAATGGCTGAGAATGGCTTATATGGACTTTTCTGGAAAATTCAGAATCCGCTCGTCAGTTTCAGAAAAGTTATATGAGTTATAGTACCAAAAATCATGTTTTTAGTGCAAAATAGAGATTTTCAAAGACGATTTTCTCGAAATCTAGAGCGTTTCAGAACAAGAAATGTTTTGTGATATAGTCAAAGTGTTATAAACAAAATTTTATAAATCGAATATTTTTTTTCAAAAAAAACTATTTTCAAATTTTCGAATTTTCACCACTTGGATGTAGTCGAAAATTGGAATAAAAATTTACTAGAAAATGTCTGAATTATGATTCATCCAATTACAACAAAATTTAATTTTCGGAGATTTCCTCAAATTGGTTGAAAACTTTGAAAAATGTCCGATTTATGAAACTTCATTTAATTCTATGTATGACGCAACTAATTTCAAGAACAAAAACATCCAAAAAATTGAGAAATTAGTCTTTAAAACCCGCTATTATTCCACTGAAAATGCGATTTTTGGTACTGAAAATCATATAACTCGGCTGAAACTTGCCAACTTTGCCAGTGTCTACATGCTATTTTCACTATATTCTAGAGTTTTCGTTAAAATTTTGGTTCTAATGGTGTTGACGTTCCTTTGTTAGAGTTAGAAAATAAAAGATTGGTAAGAACAGCCTTAAATGTTCTCTTTCTCACCTTAAAATTTGTTGATAACCCGGCCAGACTCTTAAAAAACTTGAGGCGTCGGTTTCGATTCCCGATTTCGCTTTCGATTTCGATTACGAGTGTGTAAACTCAGCTAAACTGCAATTCGAAGTTTCGTTCTGAAAAGTACAATGTTGCAATATATGTTGTCGGAAGGCGGAAAACTTCAAAAAGAGACGGCGATGGACAAAACGGAGGCGATGAGTATCAGTTGACAGAATAATTTACGATAATGTACACATTTGGAGTTTTTCAACAAGAGAGAATGGCGAAAAGAAGGGGAAGCGGAACCGTATGAAACTGTTCGCGTGAAAAAGAAAGATGGAGACAATCAGGCAGTTGCATACCTCATAAATATAATCAAGGAGGTATCTCACTTGCCCTAGAACAACCGACGAAAACAAAAAAACGGTTATCAGGCAGCGGCAGGCGACTGGCGCCGCATGAAACCTGGAAAATTCTTCATTTCTCTCCCTTTTTTACCCGTCCGCACCTACTCCCTACACCAACGCGGCAGTTTGA